AGAAGCTGCAAGGTGGAGGCCCGAGAGGAGACAGAGCTGTTGGGAATTTTTTTTTTTTTTTTTTGTCATATCGTTATTGATGTTATTGCAGAAGTGTTTTCACACTCTTCTCTTCTTTGGCCTTTGTGGTCACAAACGCACGCACATGCTGACACCCAATCAGTGGAGCTGCTGCTGCTGCTGCTGCTGGTGTTGGTTCTCAGTAAACCCAGTTCACTGGGACCCACTGGGGTTCACTGCACAGTTTGTCCACAGAGGCCTGTAACGTCTCAAAGGCCTTGTCCAGGTTGTCATTGACGATGGTCAGGTCAAAGTAGTGGCTGTAAGCCCTCTGGATGCGGGCGCTCTCGTCCACCGTCTTCCTCAGGTCCACATCCTGTTAAAAACACACACTTTAGAGTTACTGGAACGAAACAGGAAGTCGAAAAACAAACAACAACAATCCACAAATGAATCAGTGGTCACTGGTTCCACGTTGTTGTCCATCGTAGAAGTGGAGTCAGTTACCGTGGTCTAAAATCAATGAAAAAAGAGGCCACCAGGGGCAGACTGCTGGCTGCGGGAGGGAACCTAGTATGAATTCAAATCACTACTTTTCTCTCCCTAATCCCTGCTTCGTCCTCCAGATATAAAGGACTAGTACCGACTTTCAGCCGCACCTGAACGCCACTCCTGGGTTCTTTCTTCCTGTAGCCGATCTAACTACGTCACCAGCTCAGTCCTGTGTGTGTATGCTACACAAAGACGTGTGTGTGTGTGTTCACTCACCGTGAGCTGCTTGGTGGTGATGCCGGCGTCCACCACAGCTTTGTGCATGGCCTTGAGCGTGTCAAAGTCAGGGGCCGCTATGAACACCACATACGGCATGAACTCTGCTGTCTTCAGTACCTTCAAGGCCTGGACAAGGACACAGAGGGAGGAGGAGACAGCCTTCAAAAATGTCCGTTCAGGCTTCTTTTCTAATAGAAAAGTTATTTTTTATCAAAGAAAACTTATGACTAATTCTAATTTATTATTGATTCGGTGACTCTAAAAATCCTGGAAATCTTGTGCAAAGTTTCAACCAATTTCCCTGGAAACTATCAAAGAAAACTCATTACTAATTCTAATTTATTATTGATTCTTGTGTAAAAGTTTCAACCAATTTCCCTGGAAACTTCCACCTTAAATATTAATTCCACAGGTGAAATGTTTGTTTGCTCATCAACATTCTCCCAGTGTTGTTGAACCCTCTCTCACCTGCGGGTTGACATCTAAAATACACGTGCGTCCCGTGGCCACCACCTCGTGGATGGACTCGATCTTGGTTCCGTACAGGTTCCCGTCATATTCTCCGTGTTCCAGGAAACGTCCGGCCTTCACGTCCACCTCCATCTCCGTCCTGCTGGTGAAATGGTAGGTGTTCCCGTCCAGCTCGTCGTCGCGGGGACGTCGGGAAGTGTCTGGCTCAAAAAGGCCCAAAAGGTTTTAATCAGGATTTTTTTCCCTCCATGATAATGAGTGAAGTACAAGACAAGTTCATTCACTTTTCTGAACATACATGGTATGGTGGTGCCAAACAGTGTGGGTTGTAGGACCATGAGCCGGTTCTTCAGGCTGCGCCGACCCACACCTTGAGCACCGATGAGAACCAGTGTTTTCCTCTGGAACGCCGGCACCTTTGCCACTTCTTCATAGATCTGCAGCTCGTGTCGGTCAAACTCTGTTCACACACGTGATCAGTATTTTTAAACAATGATAAAGTGAGCTTAGAATGAAGTGTTTTTCTGGCATTTTCTCACCAGCATTCTTGGCTGTGAGGTACATCATCTTCTTCTTCTTCTTTGCTGCTATTGTGCCACAAAGGATGCCTACAACACAGCAGACGCACCTGGGTGTTGGTGTGCACTTACAGTAATTGGCCAAAAGGGGGCAGATGTGGACTATTTTTAGGGTTTAAAGTTGAAACCATCTGGCGTTTCTGCCATCAATCATTCTTCAGTGGTAAAGTCAAGTCATTGAAAAGTGAAAGAGGTTTGGCAGCTGACAAAACCCAAACCAATCTTTTCAACATCAGCACGGCTGAAAAGACAAGCTGGGTATTTATTGAATTGTGCCTCCAACCAGAGAACAGTTTACTGTTCGTGTACTACTGTCAATGTCAGTGTGTGTGTGTGTGTGTGTGTGTGTGCTGAGATTTATCTCCAGAAACATACCTGACCCATCAAAGTCTCGAGGGACAAAGGCTTTCCTCTTCTCCTCCAGAAACTGACTGGGTATCAGTCCAGTGGCTCCGCCCACCATGTGACACGCCTGCCACAGATCACAGCTCAGATTTAAATCTATTCTAAACCCTTGTTTGTTTAGCAGACACACACACGTAAACAGAACAAATGCCTATAAAACACCACCTGCCACCAGTTTGGATCTTCTCTGTTGACAATCTGAAGGATGTCTCCCCTCGTGAAGCTCATGCCGGCCTCCCGACAGGGGATGAGGTTGTCGTTTGCTGGGTTGTAGTCGAAGTACGGCCTCACATAGACCTGCGAGGAACACAGGCACAGTTCTGTGTCAGTTTTATCCACTACATGTTAGGTGACCTGGCGCTCTTGTTTTTCTGCCTGTTCATGGTCATAACATCAGTCTATGCAGACAGCTTTTTGGTTTTCTTCAGGCTCAAAATATCGCGACACATGCTACGCAACATACATCAGCTCCTAAGAAGAGACTACGGAACTAATAAAACCTGACACTGTTACCAGTTTTCTACTGTTACTTCACAATGGTTAAGTTATTTACATACACTTAAGAAAGTGGTTCATGTTTCACGGCACTTGTAAGGATATTTTGAGCACTATTTTGATAAACAGTCTGGCTCAGGCGACAGACAGGACAGTCTCTCCGTTCTCTTTTCTCCCCCCACACACACAGACCTCCAACAACAGTCACCGGTGTTAGAACCAGAACAGATTTCTTCTTTGGGCAAAATGTGGTTCAAGTGGTTTTGTTGACTGAAAAACATACAAGACCCAAAACTAAAAAAAGAACCACGGCAGGAGCCGAGCCGTCCTGTGTCTGCTCATTCACACTCATTACATCCCCTGTCTCACACTGCACCCAACACAGCTGTTCACGCTGCTGTAACACAGGAGACTTTTCACAGGGAGGCTGAGAGCTCCAGCTGATGTATTAGATTAAACAAGCAACCAGCGGAAGCAATAAAACAAGCCAGTAAAGTACACTGTGCTCGCTGCCCCGGCCGCAGAGCAGGATATGATTTGGCATTATGTCTCATTCAGTCTCACCGCTGCCTGTTCACCTACAGCCAAACACAAATGTTACCAGTTTGCTCTCGTTTGACGAACCATCCATTCATTTTTCTAAAAGGTTGTTCACATTTTTACGGCCATAGGCTGTCAGAAAGATGAGGAGGAGGAATGAACTACTGTCTTTCACGAGTTTAATTATTGTGAATAAGAGGCAGAAAGGCCAGTGTGACCTGGACAGCATGTCAAGGTTTATTATTAGAGCTGCGAGGGTTCACATTCCTACGTGGGGGATTGTGGGAAGTCCGTGGGACATAACACCAGCTCTGTGCCATTTGCCCAACATCTGCCTCACATTCACCCTCAGCACATTGGTGTGTAACTGTGTGTGTGTGTGTGTGTGTGTGTGTGCTCTCCTGTTTTTAACGCCGGCGGACCTGAGGGGGAGCCGGAGCGTCCCTGTAGCTGGGGAGGATTTTGAGAGTGATGCCTCCGCTGCAGTCTTTCAGCATCTCCTGCAGCTCCGTGGGGTTGTTGCCCACATCTTTGCCATTCACTTCCTTAATGATGTCGCCCACGTGGAGCAGACCCTGCCTGTCAATCATTCCACCGTGCAGGATTCTGGCGATGACCAGGTCGTCTTTCTCCACCCGAAAGGTCACACCCTGTGAGGTGAAGGGGCATCGGTGATTTTTAGGGGCTTGTTTTTAAACATCTTATATGAGCCACATGTTAATTTATACTCCACACACACACACACACACACACACACACACGTCTGCCAGTGCCTTGCTCACCAGCGGCTCTCCGGCCTTCTTTCGGATGCCAATCATGCGCACGGCATCAGCCTGCATCAGGGCGTTGTTCACAGCTGCGTCATTGGCCATCTCAGGAGGGGGCGGGACTTCGAAGCATTTGGAAGCCACCATGTCATGTGCCTCTAGAAGAGACTGAGAGAGAGAGAGAGACAGAGAGAGAGAGAGATGACACTAATGCCTCTTTAAGGACAAAAAGCAGATTTATTTCAGCTAGTTTTTTTTGATAAGTGAGTTTTCAGGACCGGTCATATTATGTAATTTTTTTTAAATCCAAAAGAACAAAAACATCAGCAGTAAAGTAAAAAAAAAGAAAGTTAATCCATTATCAGCAGTAAAGTAAAAAAAAAGAAAGGTATTTTACCAGAAGCACTTTTTAAATTTTTTTTTCTTTGTACCATTTCCAGAGAAGTGGCTTCTTGGCTGCTGCCCTTCAACACAGTCCGCTGCTGCTGATGAAGCGTCTTTGGACTATTAAACACATAAAGCTGTCAGACGTAGATGGACGTCTAACTGCAGCATTTCCATCAGAAAAAACGTTATTTTTGTCCATCACTCTGTGATAATTTATATATATAATGTGCTTGGCTGCAGATAATTTAATTATTTATTACTGCGCGCACATCTTATGACATTTTGACTAAATTCCAATAAATAAATAGAATGAGTTACAAATACATATTATGTGATAATATAATGTGATCTCAGACAACAGGCAGACAATCGCTGGAATAATAAAACATGTTTCAACACAACTACAGAATTTAGGTAATTTTTTAAAATGCATTCCACACCTGTAAATAACTATATTTAATGTCTATAAATAGATACGGCCTGACAAGAAATCAATTTAAGTTTTACTTAAATTCAGACAATAGTTTAACATCAAATTAACATTGAAGCAATGATAAATCAATTGGCTTTTGTGCAGCAGGAGGCTCTGCACTTGGTCAGCAGCCAAAAAGGCACTTAGAGTAAATTACGACTCGAGTCAGGTAAATTAAATCTCTTCATAATAAGCGTTTTGGTCTGAAAGAAATAATTTTAAAAAGCCGACGTAAAAAAAATCCATGGAATTCATTTGAAACTGGATGAATGGTTTAAAAAAAGGACAAGTTAGAGACAAAGTCGGAGTGAAGAGCTGCAGATTTCCTTTAACAAATGTTACGACTCAACGCGCACAAATATAGATTAGAATGAAAATACTTTCAGCTACTTCGCAGACGAGTGCTCACCACTGCAAGTACTTTCATTTACTAATATTTACTATTCACTACTGGCTATCTACTGAGATAGAAAAGTATTTAAAAACTACCTCATTCAGTCTGTGATGTAATATCTATATCTCTCATTCTCTTCGTTCCCAGAGTGCCTTTCTGTGGCTCTCTCTCTCAGTAGGTCATCGGGTTCTTATCCGTTCGGCTTACAGCACGGAGGGCTGTGATTGGTGCAGAGCCGTGTCAGGGCTCAGAGACTGTTAGCACTGTAGCTTGTGGAAATCCACTAACTGGTCAGGTGTATGGGATTAGTGTCCTTCTGATGGACAGTGACGCCATTTTTTTATCTGCTGTATCTACAGTCAAAACACTGCAGTATGACAGTACTGCATGCAGTAGAATACTACGTGTTATGTAGATCCATACAGGAAGTGAGAGGTTGGTTCTTTTCAGGCGTGTGTGTGGTGTGAGATGAACATGGATTTGATCTAATTATTATTTTTTAATAACGTCAATCTAATTAGCATCACTATAATACACAGTACTACAGTACATGTACTTGAAGATAGAAATAGGATTTTGATCAAATTTTCTGACAAATAAAACATTTAATTTAATTAATTTATCCAAATTTTACTGATATTTTTAGCTCCTGTGAATTACCATTTATGGAGTTTTAAACCTTTTCGATGCAGTATTAATATTTGATACCTATGTTAGGATTACATTTGGACTGTTTTTATGTTTCTCGACGTTACTAAATCCTCTGCTCTTAAAAAAAAAGTTTGGACCTCACTGCCTTAGAGATGTACAGTATTGTATATCACTTCCCAGTTTGAGTTAATATGTAACCCTGCAGCAGCTCCATCACTGTACGTCCAGTGGATATTGCTTTATTTACCCTTGCAGCAGTACAAACATGCCCCGCTGTGTCGATGCCCATGAGCTTCTCACATGTTCAGCAGCTGACCTGAAAGTGCGGCTCCTGCAGGATCTTGGACAGTTCGGCCGCGCTGTCATCTCTGACCTTCAGGCCGCTGATGTCTCCCAGGATCTCCGTCACCAGCTCCACGTTGTTGTCCTGCACCGCCTCCAGCTTTACTTCCTCCTGCTGCTCCGGAGCCTGAGAGAGAGAGAGAGGGAGATAGAGAGAGAGAGAGAGAGCGAAGACACAGAGGGAGAGGCTGGTGAGAGTAGACAGCAGACGATGTACTGCGTCCTACAAGTACTCCCATAGCTGATTCACTTTAAGGAGTATTTGTTAACCATCAGTCATCTTTAATCCTACAAGTGTCATACCTGCAGGGAGCCAGGGGGGACCGGGGGGGGGGGATATGACAACAGTCACAGAAAAAGAAAAACTAAAGACACATTTCCTGACTGAACTTCACTGCCTCTACAAAGGTGAACACGTACAATGGGACTTTCCATGATCCCGCGCAGGAAGAGCAGGTCGATGTCTTTGGCCCCCGTGGAGTTGGGCGTCTCACCCACATTATCCGCCACCTGCTGCATGGCTGCACAGACAGGTCCAGAGATAAGGACAAAGACGGAAAGAGAGACGGGAGAGATAAGAGGAGTTAGCCAGGCGTGAAAGTCATACACAGCAAAAACCCAAACACACAGCAGCGGGAAGAGGAAGAAGAAGGAGTCTTTTAAAGAGCACTAAGAAGGAAAAATATGAACTATGGACGGAATGACGTCTTCACTAGATTGTCCTCACCCAGCTTCAGAATCAGCAGAACAGAAATTGAGGACAAGATTGTCTCCATCAAAATTCATAGAATATATTAGACCAGCTCCAGTTTGCATAATGCAGCCGGGGTCTGAGAGTAAAATCACATATTACAGAGGCAGGGTTAGGGGGAAATTTGAATATTTCAGAAGAATATGTCCAGAGTAACTGAATTCAACTGTGGACTGAGTACAGAGTGATACGTCTGCAGTGGAACGACCCAGTGTACAACATCTGGAGTGGTGTTGGAGGGTCAGTGGAATCGTTAATTAAATATGATCTGACATATTGTTGACACCAGCTGTTTGTGTCACTACCAGCCCCTAGTTCTTGATTAAGTTAGAGGTCCCTCTGAGGTCACAGCACCTCGGTGAGCACAGTTCATAAAATCCATAGCACCGGTCCAAAGTTCCAGATGAGAACCTTTGCATAATACATACAGTACCTTGAAGGAGCCGAGCAAATTCCAGACTATTCAAGATTAAAAATGTAAGAAGGTTCCTGATGAATGAACTCCACAGAGTCCTGTGAGCTCTGGTTACGGCCAGAGGAAGAGAGAGGTGAGAAACTGTAGCTCCCAGACGAGGAGTCAGTGTCTTGTGGCTCGTGTACGGCTGTGTACGACACGTTTAGCCCTGGGAATGTGTATGTGTGATGGGTGTAGTACAGTTTTGCTCAGTCAGCATTTGACACATGCCCATGAATTGTCCCTGTAAGCCTGACTCAGGTGTTATGTCATAAAGTCAGGCCATACGTTGTGAGAAGCGGCGCCCACAGCAGTGATTTCAACATGTCTTCTCATTAGAGCAGATATTAGCGTATTAGCTAATATTGCGCATCACAACACAGTCAATTTTAAATGGTTTCATGCCTCAGAACATTTTTTGGTTCTGCGATGTGATTGAATATCATTTGAATATTTATCAGGCTTGAGGTTCAGCCAGTTTGGAAGAAAATGGATGGAGCGTGTGTTAAAAAGAAGGTTCCCCTCTCTGTACAGTTGGTGTTAGCACTGGAATATAGACACTTTGGAAATCAAAATGAGTTTTGAACAATTATTAATTCAATTTGAATCAAAATAATTATGATTGTGATACATATACCTACACTTTCCTCCATTGCTCCATACTTTTTTTTTCACAAAACTTATAGTATGTTGGGTTAGTGTTTGTGTGTTAGCGCTGTTTACATTGTTATTCTAAAGGCTGCTCATTTAGAGCCAATAAAGTTCACTCTAGAGTTAATGCTTTTCTACTGCAGCTGCACTCGTACTGTAGAGAAGATGTCAAAGCTTCACATGGTGATCACTAATCAAAGGTGTGACACCATTTCATATTGTCTTTGCGGAGCTCGCAGCCCACGCAGTGACCAGTCGGAACAGTCTTTGACAGTTCCATTAAAAAGAATCAATGATTATTTGTTCCTGTAGCAGGCAGGAAGGCATACACTTGCACAGCGAGAAAGGGAGAAGTAGTAAAAATGAAATTGATCTTACAGTGGAGTGAAAAGCCCACTGCGGTTTGATGGCCACAGAGCACACAGCCAGATTCTATAAACACCAGGCTCCATGCAAAAATAAACCTTAAATATTTATGATCCTCTTAAAAAAGAGGACAAAAAGGAGGGCTGGAAAACTGCACTGCAGACTGTTGGACTGGTATATTTACAGAGCAAAATATATATACCACAGGCACGTTGTATTTAAACCTGCTCTAAAATATAAAAACGATGGCGACTCTGGGTGTTTGTTTCTTAGGAAGGACCACACACTGTGTTTGGGAGCAGAGCTGTGATTTGAAGAAAACTCCAGACGACAGTAAACAAGGATTAAAACAGCAGCCACAGCAGCAGAGCTGCACTCACTCACTCACTCACTCAATAACTCACTCACTCAGGACAGATACACTTTTCTTCTAATCTCTGTGTTCACCGTCTTCGTCAACTTTGTGTCATTTCAGAATGTTTGCTCATCCCGGCTGGTGCACCACCCCCTCTGCCACGTCTGCTCGTGTGTGTGTGTGTGTGTACCTTACTGTTCCCCCTCAGTCCAGCTGAGCTCTCTGCGATCGTATCAAACGTCCTAAGTCTAAGTCTGGCCTAAAGACACTATTAAAAGCTTAGTGCTCAGCACGCTGCACAGAAGACAATAGCTTTGTTTCTCAGCTGATTCATTCATCTCCATAATGAATCACTCGGCATCAGGCATGAGCTGTGTACACACCTAGCAGCACCGTGTGCGGTGAATGCTAATGCTGAAGAGTTCCTAACTCTGTCTGTTGAGCAACCTGAAACAAATCCCATGAGTAATGACCTGGGAACCTGTTATGTGTGTCCCACTGTTGTGTTTTACCTCGTGAGACTGACATCACAGGATTATCTCCACTTGACACAACAATGCATCACCTTCGTAACAACAAAAGTGTATTTGCAGTGTGTGAAGAGAAGGTCAATGACGCAACCATCTCCCAGCTCTGGCAAAACAACCTGTGAAGGCCTGTTTCTTTGGTACGATAACTGTTACTGTTACTACTTTTAGACTTTATTCTGTTCTGAATGACCTGTTGTTTTCAAACATTACCAGATTATGACTGGAATTATTTTTTTAAATTAAATTAGTAAAATTGAAGTACATGTTTTCACACTGCGGCCCAGTACCAAATGATCTGCAGACCACCATCAGTCCACGGACCAGGGGTTGGCAACCTGATCCTTCTTCTTTTAAAAATGTAATTAAGGAGCTGTTCTGACAGTTAGACAGTAGATTCATATGAAAATATTGTTTCCTGGTGATTTTACTGCAGTTGTATTGTGTGTAATGCACATATTATTCCCAAAAGGTTGAATCACGAAACATTTTATGCATGAGACACAACTTTAGTAAATCTAAAATAAAAGGTTTGGAGAATTCTGAGGTTTCCCACACAGTCTGCAGAAATAAACGCTGACGTCGGAACCTTGTAAATCATTGCATAAAGAAAACTCTTACGAAAAAACAAAAACAACGGAAGGAGTACAGCATCTCTGAACCCTCCCACGACACGCTACCTCCTCCTCCTCGTCCTCCTCCTTCCCTCACCTCCAGTCGCATCTGTTCCCTGTGTGGTCTGTCCATCTCCTGACCCCTTCTCTCCAGACTGTCTGGTCGGCGTCACCTCCTCCTTTTCTCGTGTCCCACTGGGACAAGAATCCTCCACAGCCGCGACCATCGCCAAAACCGTCTTTCTTGTCGCCTGGTACCACAAATATGCTAAGACTAACCACTGGGAGACCAACCACCGGCAGTTCTGCAACTCTGTCCTTCAGTCTCCTCCTAACCTCTGCTCTAAATTTCAACAAAACACACGCGCAGAGACAGAAAAAGTACAGGGGAGAAGGAGCCGGACAGACAGACACAAAGAGAACAACAAAGACGTGGGATCAGGAGATGTTGGATTTGAAGAGGGAAGTGGGAAAAAAGAGAAGATGGAATTGTAACAGGAAGTTGGTGTTTAAAAGTTTGGAAAAGGCAAACAGAGATACAGGGCTGGGTCGTAAACACAGATGTGGACATGTGTCCAGTTCTGGTCCGTCCACTCCCTCCATCTACTCCACTCTAGCTTTAATACCTCACCCTGATACTCCTCCCCCTCCCCCACTGATAACGTACACACATAATCCTACAATCCTCTTCCGGCTGTTGCTTCTACCCCCCTCCACTCACACTCCAGTTTCCCCCTCTTCAGGTTTTCCCGCATCCGAAGTTAGGTTGCCCCTGCCTGATACACACACACACACACACACACACACACAGCAGTTGAACGTTGGATTATGTAACTCATCTTACACAAGTGTTAGAGAAGAGGCCCTGACCCGACATTCCCAGTCATTTCCCGCTCCTTCTCTTCAGGGTTCAGATATCCCACCGCTGCCGCTGCCGCTGCAGCAGCGTGCACATTTCCACAGTGAGAGCGGATGGAGCTGCTGCGTAATAAGAACTGTCCATAAGTCTTCTTCTCATTATTTTCTCTCATCTCCATCCTCTCTCCTCTTGTCGTGCCCTAAGACCTTCCTTCGCGCCTATTCATTTCACAGTGATGCGGTGACAGGGTTTACCCACAATCCTCTGCTCAGCTTTAACATAGCCATGTGTATGTGACTGGGTTCAATGCTCAACTTCGACCTCTTACCAACCAGGAGTACACGGTTCAGTCCCACCTCTGAAACCACATTTGCTCTGCACAGTACCAGGAAGCACTGAGACCACTGCACCACATATATAACGTGTCAAACTCAAGGCATGGGGGCCAAACGTGGCCCGCCAAGTCATTTTATATGGCCCATGTGATCTTAAAAAGCATTCAACAGCAGATAAATAATGTGGATGAGATATTTTATTCTTGATTTTTAAGGCCACAAATAATAATAAAAAAAAATAGATAACGATAGATAACAAAACATCACCACAGTTCCATGAGGAGCAGATAGGATTTAATCCATAATGCCTCTCCTCCCCCCTCTGCATCTTCTATGTGACCAGACCTCCTCCCCCTATTTGGGACATCATGGTTTAATCTGGTCACAAAAGCACGGGATTATTATCTCCTTCAAAACAAACAGCGCTCTAGTCGCGCGTTAACTGCGGTGAGACATTAAAAATCAGCACAGAAAACGAAAAAGAGATTAATTCACACTGATGTCTGACTGAAGAAGGGCAGCCATGTGGGGAGAAAACAGAGCCGAGCATCATGGGAAGTCAATATGGACTGAGGGAATCTGACGTCTGTAATGATTGCAGTTTGATTGTGGTTTAATTAGTATAATTGGTTAATTATTCAGAGGAAAAGGCGGCTTCAGAATGCAGATTGTTTTCAGTTGACTCTGGGAGTTTAATCCAGGAAAACTTTACAACAGTCTTCACCTGCATCGACTTGAAAAATACTGCTAAATAATTCAGTTGGACGTTCGCTGTCTGTCCATACCTGAGAGGAGACCGTGCCGCGGGATACATTTGTACTCAACAACAAAGTTTCTTTCCAACAAATCCTTGAATTTTTTGAATAAGATGAATATGACGACCTTTGCAGGAAAACAACCCCAGTATGAACGTCAGCTCTAGCAGAACAGCTGGTAAACCGGCTTCTTCTTCTGTGATCCGTGATTTTTAAGAGCTGCCTCCAGCATCCTTCCCTCTTCCCTTCAAACCCTGGAAAATCTCCCAGTGTGCAGACCAAACCATGTCAGTATGCAGAGACCTCTTTCCTACACTTCCAGTGTGTGTGTGTGTGTGTGTGTGTGTGTGTGTGAAACAAACAGATGTGGGGAGGAGATTGTGTGTTTACCTGTGCCAGTCTGCTTTCCCCAACTACTGGTCCTACTGGCAAGTCATCAGTCAACCAGGAAGATCTGGTGAGAGGGAGAGACAGACGTGTGAGAAATAGTCAAGACCAAATTTAGGAGACATAAACATTCAGGTCATTCCTACGCAGCGGGTTTTATCATTCCTCACACACTTGTTCGTTGTTGTTTTTCTTTTTTTTTCTTCTCTCTTGCTTCATCTGTCTGGCAGCCTTTACCTCTTCCAAACAAGGTTAAGATGGTTTTCCATGATTGAGGCAACTGTGTTTTTACTAATGGGCCCACAGTCTGCTCTGTGATGTATGAGTCTTACTGACATACAAAGCAGTGCCAGTGCATTGCCTCACTTCTTCAGTGTAAGATATGTTTCTGCAACAAACAACAGTGATTTGTCATTGGTTTTGATGAGTGTTTCATTCAAAGAGTGAAGGATTTACCAGAACTTAGAACAAAGTATTTCTCCAACGGCATCTTTCAAGATTTATTTTAGTCATTAGTTTAAAACTGCTGTTATTTCACTAGAAAATATATTTCAGTACAAATTACTTAACTTTCAGCAAGGAACCACTCAGCTACTCAAATCAATAGATCCTCGCTGAAGGGCTGTTTCACAGAACATTTCATTTCTTCTTAAATTGACTCCGAGCGTGAAAACTAAGGACTTACACGCTAACCTCTACCCTGCAAACGGATGTTTAAATCTCATCTGTCTGGCTGAAGAGTTGTGCAGCAGAGAAAAAGAAAAAAAAAACACGGTTGAAGTGGAACAATAGATAATGGAAGGCAGTGAAAAAAAACCCAACATTGTTGTGTGATTACAAACACCCGATACCTGCACTCAACCACTCAACAAAATCTCACCTGTGACCTAACACTACAGGTCCTACGAGGTGATCACACCACACAGGAGGGAGTGAAGCCATCACTGCTCTGCCTTTTTTTTATTATTATTTTCTCTGCCGTGCTAGGGTCCTCGCACCCATCGTTCTGCAGCTAATTGGTCTTTTATTGTACGAGCAGGAGGCAGAATGAGAGTGGAGTCAATTCATTATGCAACACAGATTACAGGCAGGCAGGGCACGCTCATTGAAAGTGAAGGATATCCCTTAGAAGAATGTTAATAGAGGCAAAGTCACCAGGGCAATTCATCAGTAAGTCACCGTACCAGGAAGCACCAGTCGGAAACAATTAAAGCTCCGAAGGATGTGGATCTCCAGTCGGCATTATGGAATATACATAAATGTAATGTTAAATACGGTGAAACCTGAGTGCCAGTTTAGGAGATTTAATACGAGATAATGTGGAATGGATGAAACAAAACTGCTGTGGGAAAAGAATTTCAGAACATGTTTAATCTTTGCTACTGCTTCCTGAAATTCCCAATCCTCCTCAGCTGCTGGAGTCATGAATAGCATAAAAAACACGTCTGCATTTAAAAGTGTTTCCATTCAAAGGATTTGGGATTTGACAGTGCTAAAAATATTCTTTATCCCAATGTGAATGGAGACAGCGGTTGTATTCAAAGTCAGACATGGCGGTTTAAAGGATATGATTTGAACGTCAGCGCTTCAACCAGGTCAGTGAGAAAACACCGGAGTTAAGAGTTCCTTGATGTTGTGTTCTCTCGATTACTGTTTTCTCCTTTTGGTACACAGAGAAAATGGTCCTTTAATTCAGAGCCACGGCTGCCACTGGCCCTGAACGAACAAACCAACAAAAGCGCCAGCACTCTGCCAAGATGATGACAGTCAGCAGGATGATGGAGGAGAATCAGGACGTTTATTTTATCTAAATCACAACAACAATCAGTTTCATCTGAAGTGCGAGGTGATAAACGCTGAGAGACTGAGAGGTAGTTTGATTCCCGGCATGTGTGCAACCCAAATGTCAGCCCTGATACATTAGTCGGGTTGTGTGATAGAACACTGACAATGTGCTGTATAAGTCCTTTTCTACCACCAACTTCATTCAGCTTACTCGGTGTGTATTCAAGCCTGAATGGAGCAACATACAACTTCCCTGGGGTCATGAAACATAAATACACACACTCGTGTACACGGACGAGTTCCTACTGCATTCATCCTGGTGGAGCCATTGAAAACTGCGTCCCCTATTCTCCTTGCACGAGACGTGCCCAGAGAGAGCAGCTGTCACTCTCGTTCCCAGTGAGTGACTCGAGAATCACAAAGGAGGCCGGGGAGCCCTGTCCTGCCTCGTGTCAGTTGACGGTCCGACTCCGGAGCAATTAGTGAACTTCACTCTGCGCGAAACAGAAGCTGAATGACACGAGGAGCCAGGGGCATACATGCATTTGATAGACACGGTGGATAAGGATGAATCATGTAGGTTAACCCACCTCCCCCTGCCCTGCCTGTCAGCCCGCTGCCTTTAGACAGACCTTATGTAGGTCACTCCACGCAGCTCAATAAGAGGATTACTCAGTGACCCCCGAAGATAGCATTCTTTCAGAATCAATATCTGCATTATTTTTCAAAAAAAAAAAAAATTCTTTACAATCTATCAATCCATCTGTTTCTGCCAATGGGAAGCGCTCCAGCCCGTTCCAGTCCCTACTAAAAACGTGATGTAAAAGCGTCAGGTTCCATCTTCCTGCTGCACCTAATCTCCACACCGGCTCTTTTATTACCAGCATTTTTCACAGACATTATTTTTTACATGGCTGCATTTCACCAAAACCAATCTTATTTCCCTCCCGTTATCGTTCCAGCTGGTGCTTGGAATGATGCAGCTTCACCTCACTCCAGCCCTTGGGCACAGCACATGCAGCAATGCTAATAATGAGCACCTCGTGACATAATGTAACCCGCCACATGGCTGCGCCTGCGCCCTCCCTCCTCGGCCTCCTGCTACTGATCATTAGTATTGGGAAAGGGAGGAAGGAGCTGGGGGGGGGGGGGGGGGGGGGGGTGAAGAACACGAGTAAGTAACACGAGTAAAGTTAGAGACCGATGTTGTGCGATGGTGAGGGGATTCAAAACAGAGATGCACGGAGGAGAGGAGATCGGGGAAGGACGAGAGTGTTTTGTTTGAACATCAGTGAGAATCTTTAAAAAACATGAATTTCCTTTCATGGAAGCAACACAGCACTCTGATGTTCTATCATCTGGAGATGCAGTAGAAATGAATTGAATTACGATCTGGACTGATTTCCTGATGACCTCATTTGATCCTGTTGCATTTGAGTGTCTTATAACTCCTGTGTTCTTCCTCTACAGTCAGTACAATCGCTGCAGAAAGAGTGATGTTTTTCTTTCTAGAATCAGTGAATTCACCAACAAAAGAGATTTTTTCCCCTTGCCTGATATTCCTTGGACTTATTGTGTTATTTATCTGCAGTGGTGTATCCCTTTAAGGCCTTAGTGGTGAAAGAAATCTAGTGAATCAGCACTACACAGACTGCAGCAGGAAAAACCAAAACCAGCCGTAAATGTTTTTGTAACTCACCTGTTAGGAGTTCACACACACACACACACACACACACAACACCTAAAAACAACCGTAGTGCTGGTGTGTAATTTAGTTGTGTATGTTCCTTGACAGAGATGCAATTATCTCGTGATGACTGTTTTGGGACCAGTCAGTCTGAGTGCTGACAGTAGAGAGGTGAGACTACTGTTGGTCAAGGAGGGCTGACTGTAGGTGTGTAGGTAAAGTGTTGTTCCTCGGTGGAAGGTCTGAGTCATTATGTGTGTGTGTCTGGGTGTGTGTGTGTGTCTGTCTGGCTCTTTATGCTTCTTGTCTCCGTTCCAATCCTCCCATGGCAGTTTATTAAATATGAACATGTCGAGGCCTCGGAATGTGGGATTGTGACGCTGATTCGCCCGTTACGAAAGCCATGTTTACCTCTGCCACACTGACAGGAAGGGATAGTTGAGCGAGGTCTCACTTTGTGCCTTATCACAACGTAGAACAATAGAGGTCATCCTGGATCAGGACTGAAAACATTTGACTGGATGTCCCTGCCCATGTGCGCTGCTGCACCAAACTGTCCCCTGTCTCCTTCCCTTCCTCCTTTTGTTCCTCTGATCTGATTCAACAAATCAGATTAAGGCCTTGTTAGAAAACTGAGAGGGACAGGGTCATAAAGTAAAGATGCAACCGGATCTGTATAACTACTCCAAGTCAGTTTGGTGGCCCATTTAGACTTTTCACTCACTCACTCTCCACCACTGCCGACAACAATCCTAGAGGAAATGGCATGTCATCATTGATTTCCATATCACGTGCCCGGGACATGACATGCTCATGAACCAACAGCCCATTCCAATTCAACTGATAATGAGTATCAGATGTAGGAGAAGAAGAGAAGGTTGTTTTTGGTTCTTTGGTCACTCAGATGTGGGGATAGAACAGCAATGCCAGTGATACCATAATGGTCTTAGGAAAAAGTTTTGGGTTTTTTTACCAAAAGCTTGAATCATTCCTGTTTTCATTTGATGCAGTATCACATTGGACAAAATTAATTTGTTTTAAGTCAGATTTCTGCTACAACTAAAAAAATAGGATTTTCTTTTCAAGGCTTATGTCTCCACATATGGAAAATATAATATCTATCATTTTTTTATTTTTATGGTTTATTTGTGCAGACCTTTGCCTCCAAAGCGCTCCACCGTCTGCCCCCAGCTCCTGTATTTTTCAGGTGGAGAGCTGATTGTAAATCCAGTCAGGTGAACCTCAGCAGCTCTGCTCAGAAGAACCAAAGAGCAGCACAAGTCTGTTATGACAGTGCAGTGGTTTTGTGCTTCCACTAAGTGCTCACGCAGAGCGGTCCCAGCATCTTATTAGTGAACTCTTATTAGATGATGCACTCATACAGCTCAGTGGAGGACAATAAGGAAAATCAATAGCACGGTCTAGCTGCGCCTGCCAGTCTGTGCCAAACTAACGGTCTGTGGTTCATAAATGCACACGGTGCGTGACAGCTTCAAGTTTTCATACATGGAAATAAGGCGCAGTGATGGATCAGGAGTTGTTGTAGTGACAGCGCGCAGCTCTCCGTGTCTTTCCCCCCAAACCTACCACCCTTTCCTGTAGGATGTTGCAGCCCATCATTTCGGGACGGCGGCGCGTCCCAGCCTCCTTCTCCTAACAACACCGCGTGTCTCCCCGCTCGTGGATCGACGGCGTCGTGCGCGCCCAGAACCGTGCGTCAAATCTGTGCCAATCCTTTGCGCCGTTCACACTGACCAGACAACTGTGCCGTAGAATCGCATCGATTTCGCCACACGTGCGGCCATTTTTTTCTTTCTGTTGCCCATCCGATCCATTGTGGCGTGTACGCACACTTACGAACACAACCCACGCCTGGTGCTTTACAGGACAAGGAAAAGGACGCACCGGGCTCCTCGAAGGGCGCACAAAGCGAACTGGATTGTGTCAGAATGGAGCCGCGGCGCAGCAGGCTGGGTCTGTGGGGGGTCAAACCTCCCCCTCTGTCAAACTCTACACTGCACCTCAAACACCACTAAGTCTTTGTCTGCGACCAGCGGGGGAGAAGAACACAACACAGTATACGTTTGAGCACAAGCTCCGACTTACCTGTGAATCGTGCCTGACAGTTGACGGTAGAGTCACCGGACTGTCCTGGTTGGACATTCAGACCCCCCTCAGCTGTCTGTCCTGGTCCCGCAGCAGACTACCAGAGAACATGCTGCCAATCAAACCACTGCACCACTCCTACTCGCGTGACGTCATGTCGCGAAGACCAATGGCCCTCGAGGTTCAACCCCCTCTGAGTGAATGGACGAGATACACTTTGCCAGTACAGTGTAGTATTTTCTATCACACTCACCCATTTACATCAATGGGCTGAAATGGAGTCAAACAGGTCTCAACCCAACAGGCTGTATATCTGTGCAGTTGTTCAACAGTAAAACATAGAAACAGAATTATAAAATTGCAAGAGAAAAATACAATTCAGTAACTTGCTTTCGCTGGAAAAAATATCTTTGTATCTTGAGAAGTTTACTGCAACCAATCATTGAAAACAAGCAACAGACCAGAAGCTATTTAAAGGCTATACACTTAACAAGAACATTACATGTGAAAACAGGAAGTGTCCCTCGGAAGAGGGATTCAAATCTGTGTTATTAGTGACTAGTTATTAGTTCAGTTTCAACGACTCCTTGGCTCAAATAAAGCCTGACAACAGAGATTAATAATATCACAGAACATTCATTTTTCATTGGCTTTACTCTAAAATCCGACTTTTCATTTCAGAACAATGACCCTATTTATTATTGCCTTTTCTGCACCCCATACATTCATTTTTGTTCTCTAAAGCCCAGCCTCTTCCTGATAATATTTCATCTCCATCGAGGACTGCGGGTCTGCAGCGTCTCCTCTAACTCTGATTTGTGCTCAGTGAGTTGACTCCATGTCATGTTGTGGTAAATTAACCATCCGTGTAATTACAATAATTCCCCTGAAAAATGCATTTTTACAGCATGGCTCCATTCATTTACATAGTCAATTTGGCCACAAGAGGGCGCCATTGGCTTTTTTAAAAACAGCTCCTAGCTGAGCGACGCTTGTGGCTCCTTCACTGCACGTGAAGAAACGTGTTAATGCTGTTTGGATCCAACACATACAAGTGTTTGTCTCAAAGAATCACGCTGTTTCAGGACATTAGGGGAAGTAAAAGGGACAGGCGTGGCGCTGCAGGCCCCGACATGACTTCACCATGAAGAGATACTGACGTCACCAACAAGATTTAAGGTGTGTCACGTGGCAGTCCATCAAGCCCATCTGTCTATTGGGAAATTAAGGTGATATTTTATGCAGTAAAACAAACCACTATTTCTATCATTTTTTTCAAAATAAAATAAGATGCGTTTTATAATAATACAACTTCTTTGATGCATTTCAAACAATGCATAATTGAATCAGGCAGAAGGAAAAGAAAAGAGGTTTGGTGTTTCTGCTGACAAAGATTCAAATCTTATTAACATAAAAATCCAACGTTGGCTCTGTGTTCCTGCTCGGAGCAGATGGATGACTTCCTCTTTGCATGAAAGGATCTGAGCCAGTATTTTTCATGCAGTGATGCAGTATTTTCTGAAGTACAGTCCCAAGCCTTCTAGCTATAAGGACTAAAAGGTGACACACTTTTAGTGATAAACTCTGCCCTTAGTTGACCATCATTCACAGAGAGGTGGTGTTTCATACTAAATCTTTATAACTGATCCATTTACCAGTAAACCTGGTAATTTAGTAGCCTTCGGTGATGTTATTAAGTCTGTGTAAGATTTGTGTGTGTGCTGCAGGCATTGGGTTTGTCAGTAAAAACACACACATCATTCTCCTAGTCTGGCTGCCTGTTATAAAGTTCCATGTGAATTACTTCACTACAGATTCATGTTGTATTGTTTTCTTAGGCTGTGGTTCGTGTTCATATACTTGAGTATTCATGTTTTAATTTAATACACCATCATGTAAACAACTGTTTCTATTTCATCAACAAAGCAAACATACCAAAAGACAACGATATTCATTGAAATAATTATTTATTTGCACATTTGTACAATACAAACAATATGGCCTTCCATCTCTTTGTTTCAATAGAATCCACAGATGATCACACTGAATAAATTATTAACAATTCAATGGTACTACAAGCAGGGGGGGGGGGAGGAGTGGCGACAGAGGATACAGGAGAAAAGGTGCAGAGGTTAGAGGTCGCGTTGTCACTTGGATGAAGGCGAGGTCAGGATGTCAGCAGCTGTGGGGCAGCACTGAGGATGGTGACATCACCACATGGATGGGTCATATCTGGTGAGACAGGAGGGAACGTCAGAGATCAGTTGACTGTGTGTGAAACAGAATAGTTCTCCTACAAAACCACACTCACCTTGATTGTGGAAGTGTGTCTGTGGTTTCCTTTAACAGCAGCTCGGAGACCAGCGTGTCCAGAATCTCAGGACTGGACCTTTTCCCATACCTGACACACAAGTACATAGAGTTACATGGCAGTGAACTGATGACTGACTACCTGCAGCATCATCTCTGTCTATCATTTAGACCAGAGATGGACAAACGTTTAGGTTCACGGGTTAAAATGACATTTGGCACATTTGATGTATGCTGTCATCTAGTGGCATCGACTGAAATTACGGTCGATTCGTTGTCATGCATGAAACAGAAGGATTGACATTAGTGACATTGACATTAGTGTTTGGTGAACCAGATTAGAAAAGCCCAGCGGGCCGTATCTAGCCCACGAGCCGTAGTTTGCTCCTGCCTGGTTTAGGGTAAACATAATAACTGTGGGTTTTTATATATGACTTGAAAAGCCATAATAAAGAGTCTGCTATAGTTTTTATATGAAAAAACACTGCCTTTCTATTGGCTAGAACTGTTCAGGTTATTCCCACCTGACCTGTGTATGGAAACAGTTTTTTGCCCTCTGTGTTTTTTATTAAATACCCAGCAGTAACCATGACACACTCACAGACACATATCATCCCATATTTGATGCTCAGTTTGAACTTCACGTAGTTGCACAGGGTTCCAACCTGAGCCAGGCTTATTAGATATGTGTTATTAGAGTTCCTAATAAAGCTGTCTGCGATTGTGATTGGGTGTTGCAGGTTGCTAGGGAACGACCAAAGCTGCTGAGAGAATGCCCATTAAAAAGTTAAAAGCTCGTTATTATAAATTTGAATGGGATGTTCACAGCTCTTAAGCTGTTAAAAAAACATCTATTAATATCTGGAAATGCTGCGAAAAAGCAGTTTATACCAGCAGTTAATTAAAAAAAGCTGGTAATCACGCAGTCCAATGATCAATTAGTAGCAAAAGAATTAAACTATTTTTACTAAAAAATAAAAGATGGGCTTGTTGGTTCAATCAACATCCTGCATATATAAATATAAATAATAAGGAAGTCGATCTTACCGCTGTCTTGTGATGAGGTTGATGTAGTGTCTCAGGGCAGAGTAGTATTTGGCCAGTTCCTCCGCCGGTGCGTCCTCCCCGGGGTTCTCTGGTTTCACCGGGTATCCCTCGGTCAGGGCGCTCAGGCACAGCAGCGCCCACAGCAGGAACCCCAGAGTCCCCAGCCAGTTCACCAAGTTAGGATGCATCTGTCCAAACAGAGGAGGGGAAAATAATTCAATTTAAAAGAATGTTTGTCTCTTTATTTGGATACAAAGCATAGCAGCGTCCTCATGAGTGATTAACGGCCAGGGTCAGTCTGTCAGGGCATCGGTAGAGCAATGCAAAGCCAATGTTTTTGCTAATAAAAATAAAAAATACTCACACTTTCCAGTAGTTCGGGGTTAAGTCTGTGCGTTCTCCTCGGGTCTCTCTTCTGAGTTTTCTGTGTGCCTGGTGTGCGCTCTGCGTTTTTATACCTGTGTGCGCCAGACGCGCAGCACAAAGCGCGTCAGAGCTGTTGCGCGTCTCAAGGGTTTTTTCTCACGTCACAACTAAACTGTTATTTAAAAAAAAAAAAGCAATTTACAAACACGTCAAAAGCAACAATCCAAACTAAAATAAGAAATACACGTACCACGTAAAGTTGTTGCAGCTGTTACAGATGGATCAAAGGTAACTTACAGACATCACGTGACCATAAGAGCGTTGCACATAATTATAATTAAGTCATTACACGAATGAAGACTACAATAAATATATATTTTTCTTTTTGTGAGGACGATTGAATTGAATAATATTAATCAACTTTATTTAACTATTGGGTTATAGTAGTGGAAATGTATTTACTTTTTTCAGACCACGTTTTTCATCATTAAAAATAACAAATACACCAGGCCTCGTCAGTGTCACAAGGGACAGTTGATTTCACAATGAATTTTTTTCTCACAATAAGATCAGTAATATCATGTACAGGATGGCAGTGATGGGAACGTCAGACAGACATACTGTAGGCCCCCAGGAGGACACCGGTGGTGATCGGGAATAAAAACATCTCCAACAGAGTTGTGTTGAAGAATGTTCTTCTTTTATATATTGCGCTTCATTCCATCAGATGGAAGAAGAGACTGGGAAACTTGATGGGAACAAAAGGCCTAAATGTGAGTGTTGAGATGCATCAGCCAAAGAAGAGGCCAATCTCCAGATACCCACTTAATAAGAACACCCAAACAGCACTTCAAGTGATTCCGTATGATCAAGTGCTTCATTTACAAGGTATTCATAAAGCTTTTGTATGTCGGCTCGCTGCTGTATAATCTATAAAAAACCAGAATACTTCAGCGGAGATGCTTTATAACCTTTATGAGGAGATGCATTGAGAGCGTTATGGATTTAACAGGATGCTGAAAGGAGGATGGGGAACGAGACGCGACAGACAGCTCGGAGTCATGACCCAATCACGTTGATCACAGACAGTGAAGTATTCTACTCCTGGTCCTCTTCATGTTCACTCACTTCACCAGAGTTCTAAAATACACTAGCATAAACACACAAGAGAATAAGATTAGGTTAGATTAAAGTTTATTCATCCCACACTGAAAGTCACCTGTTGCAGAAAATGACACACACATGAGGAAAAAGTAGCAAAAAATAAAGCTAACAGCGCTGAAGTAGAATAGATGCAAAACTAGTATTAATAAAAATGTAAAAAAATAAGATCAAATAAGAAATACTTGACAATGATTAACAGATTTAGCAGAGTGGTGTTGAAGAAAGTGAATGACTGTGACTGCAGGGGTCATTTATACCAATCAACATCAGCAGCAATTATATCATTGCTGTGGGAAAGAAAGCTACCAACATTCCCTAAAACAGCCCAGGATGTTTCTACTAATTAAACCAATCATACCCACAATTAATGCAACAATAAAGCACCGCTGCTCTGAGCCTGTCACTCCAATGCTGGGTTTGCCATTACCATCAATAATTTGTTCATAGAATGGATTCTTCAAAGAGCGGCCCGTTTAAATGCAAATTTAATTTTTTCCCTCCTCTTATCAACCTCCCAGTTTGGATGATTAGTCATCTCCTGAGATTTATCAAGATGAAAAGCCCTTCAATTTCTCGTTGCTTTGAATCAGACTTTACATTTATCGCGTGTACAAATGTGAACCGTCTGAATCTGCTCCTTCGTGCAGACAGACTGTAAAAAGAAACATGACGAGAGGCTGAATCTCACACAGCTTTGCCACTTTCCCGGTTTGTTACATTGTTTTGGTTTTTTTTTAACACACAACCCTGACATTTAAATTGCTGACTCTGGCTGCACTATTGTGCTACGGTGACACTCTGTTATGCTGCTAGGAAAGCACTACTATTACCGACAAAAAGCACTGACAGAACCCTGTTTAGCATCATGCTCCTCATGTATTTTGTTATTCACAATCAAATGTTTGTGAAAGACATTCTGATTCCAACTGATGTGCACAGCAGAGACAGCCAGGGGTCATTAAAAATCTTTTTATCTCTTTATCTTATCTTTTTATTGACCTTGGTCTGCATGGTACTTTATTTTGAAAAACAATCACATCCAACAATAGCAACAATAGGAAATAATCGTATGTATATAAAAAGGTATATTTACATTATATATGTAATAACTAAACCATACATGATGCACTTTATCCTTTATCCTTCCTCTACTTCCCCTCAGTCCTGCTTATTTAGAAACTGAGAAGAAACGAATGAATGTTCGCCTGTTAGTGTTTGTTGGTGTCTTCTGTGATTCTGTGATGTCATTTTCTGTGTGTATGGGCATGTGTTCGTCGCCACATCTGCACCTGTGGTGAAAACATCACTGAGGGAGAAGCTTGATGGGGCTTTTTTTGATTGGCAGAAAAGCAGAATCAGGCTGACAGGCTGGTCGGATCAGGTGTGTGGGTCAGAGTGAGGGTCAGAGTCTTCAGCCCTGATGTTAGGGAAACTAAACTTTGGACCTTATGTAAACAAAACAAAAAAAAAAAAGAAAAAAACCACAGGCAGCACATTTTAAAAGTAACATTGTACTTCAACATATTTGATATAGATAAGTTTGTGTTATTTTTTATATGGTATACATGAGGTGGGACACATCTTAATGTACAGTCTGTCATCATTTCTGATCATGAAATGCTTCATGATGAAATAGTTACCGTCATCACCGGCACTGCGGTTGACTCACATTGACGTATTTCAAACTTGTTTCGCAGGAAGCAGCCTGAAGGATCTTACTTTAACTCTACATACTTTTCCTGCTCGCTTCTGGTATCTGGCTGACAGTTTCAGCTGAAACTATGCACTCCTGTCTTTCTGTGCTCTGTCTCTGAGTCGTTAACTCAGCTGAGTGTGTTCTTCTTCTCCAGCTAGTGTTTCCATACCATCGCTGTCACAGGGTAATTGGGTGTTTCCTTGTGCAGTAATTGCCAATTTGATCTCAGCCTGGCTACAGGTTAGTAACGTCGGATCTGTCAATCAACCTGGGTGTGGTTTCCATGGCTATATAAGAAGCTTTCTAATCACTCCCTTTAACCAATGGTCAGAGTAAATTACCTGTGGAGTCCTAAATAGTGTTGCCATGGTGAGGCAATTGCCCTAATTTGTAATTGTGGCAGAATAATGTGTTAGCCCAAAGCCCCCTAAATTAATTAGACTTTGCTCTGCTGTTTGCTCACCCACTCCAGCGACTGCCTCTACCCTTCTGTGAAGAAAAGTGTCTGGAAGTAAGCGACTGAATCAGGTCAATTACTTCCTTTTTTTTCTGAAAGAAAGTTTGACTCAAGCATCCGATCTTTTTTTAGGAAAGTGGTCATGATTGGCTTAAAGTGAATATGTGACCACCTGATGCCGTGGTCACCATAGACACACACTCAGTCTGACATGTCAGCTTTCAGATGGGACCCAGGTGCATCCATGACGTGCTTAACCTCTAGTCCTATTCACGCCATCTTGAGAACACCTGTTCATCCCACTAACACACACACCCACACCCCTGCGCAAACTCTTTTTATATTTGTGGGGACACTAACCCCTGTAATGCATTCTGTAGCTCTTTACTCATTTATAGCGATACATCCTGGATGCAGTACCACTACTGGTCAGATGGGGCTTTAAAATATAGTTCATCAAGGTACAGTTCTTCACAAACAGAGTATTTAAGCGCATTCACCCACAGAAGCTAAATATCATGGAACATGTCAGAGACTTTGCATTATTTATTGCAATTTTGAATCAAAATATACATTATATTTACAAAAGAACACAATCTTTCAGCATCAGCTGAATTGTGCTCAAAAATCTAAATAGAATGGAATAGGTTTGGACCTGGCAGGCTCCTATAGACACGCACAAATAGACACAACCAAAGTGTAATGGTGCTGACCAGCGCCAGTGTGTTTACATTTACATCACCTTTTGATGAGTGCTTAAATAAATATGAATACCTTGGAAAGACTGGGAAAAAGTGGGTCAACATATGAAAAAAACCCATGCTTCACTCTGTGTTAAACCGTGTGGATTCAATCAGTTCTCATCACTGCTGATCTACCGTGAGGAATGAGATTAATCAGTCAGAAACAGCACATCGATCATCATATTATTAGACGCTCATCACTGAACATGCTACGCTTTTAATCTTAAGGAGTGAGCACGGGAGGGAGGACAGATATCGTTCTCTCTTCTTCAGTACATGACTGTGTTTTATAACCACACGTTAGGTGTAAAAAAACAGGAAGTTTTACACCAGAGAACAGATTTATTTACAGCTTAAGTTAAGAAAATAACATTACAATATAATGAACGGTATGTGCTGCAGGTTGATGTTTGGTTATTTCTTGGTGCTCCTCTGCTGGCTGTCACTGTCTGTGACTTGATCTGAAAAATAACAAAGAATTAATATTAGATCGCAGATCTAGACATTCATAATGTTTATGATTTAATATATATTTAAAAATCCTACGGGATATGGCTAAACTGTTGTTGTTTTGTGAGAACAACAGAAACTTGCATAGTGTTTTTTTTTAACATTCTGGAATATGTCTACCAGCTTAGTATCAATGCGTGGTTAAACAATTAGTTGCCATTAAACATTAAAACATACATAAATAACTAGACAAAAAAGAAAGTTTTTCAGGAGGTTTACAAAGAAATTATTAAATGTAATACCGGACAAAACTGTCTAGAAACTATTTGTGCTGGATGTCTGTACAACTATTTTAATGCTGTGGTTATTTCACAACCCAACAGCTGCCTCCCGTGTGTCTCGACTCTCTGCTGCCCTCACATGCCTCCCAGTGGAACTCACACATCTTCCACGTTGCAGTTCAGAAGGATTGATAACATTTAAACTCTTTCACCTAATAATAACTCAAAGTTTCAACTCTTTTAAAAATATTATTACCTTTAATCATTCTGACTAATTCATGTGAATTTTATATGCCAGTAATTTACATCGATGTTATTATATTATGTTTTATTCTTACTATTTCATCATATACCTGAGGTGCTTGCCTCCAGTGTGAGGTAGCCTTCCAAAAGGGAAGTGAAACCAGTCAGCCCCCCCATGGCAGCATATGGGACATCCCTGCCTACCGGCCTTCCACGTGCCTCCCTCTCTGCCTTTGTCTCAACCTGCAAACATCATTGTCATCACAATGTTTGATTCGCACTAACTTTCAGGCATGTTATTATTTCGTATCTTATTAATGTGTGTTTAATGCCATACTCACCAGTGTCTGGTGGGCAAAGCTGGGCTGACCACAGCCACAGGTAAAAGGGCTCTGAAACCCATGACAGGTATTGCCTTAAATGAAAAAAGACATGTTTGTTAAATATTTTTAAATAATTAAAAAAATTTAAGTAATAAAGTACATCTTTACAAATACAATGCATTTGGTAGCCATTTATTATTATACTTTAATTGGAGGGTTTTAAGAAAATAATCGCGTTTACTATTATTAATTAATTAATTAATTAATTAATGTATTTATTTATTTATTTAAGACTTACACTTCTTGCACAAATGTCCTGTGGCTTCACTGTGGTCCTCTGGCAAGTGTTTACATCTGCAGCGAACAGGGTTTGGCCCGTTTCGAGGAACATACTGATAGGCAGAACAGCAACACCCTCTCACACGGCACGGAAGCACCAGGGGGCGCTCAGAGGGAATGACTTCAAAATCTGTCTTGTGTTGTTTATACCTGCATAAAAGTATGTTATCACAAATACATTTATGCCAGTATGTATTGTATATGTATGGCTTGATGGGACACTGCAGTACCTATGTGCACAGAAACACTGAGTCTCAGGACCAACGAGTTTGCAGTCGATGCGTCCTGGGACACCAAAGCTCACATACAGCCTGTTTTTCATACGTCGAGGGACAACTGTCCTCTTGTACTCCTCATATTGCTCTGCAGTGAACAGGACACCTCCATCGTCATCACCCACAATCCTTTAAGGAGACACAACACCGTAAAGAATTTGTGTTAAAGGTAGACGACACGCACAAAGGACTGAAATGCCAGAAGAAAAGCAGAGATTTTTTCCCCTGTAATCATCATAGTCATTTGCTTCAGATGTGTACGAATAAACAAATGAATTGCAAATGAATACAAATTTCCTAGAGCACATGGTTTAACTTTGGGACAGACCGTCTGTACTCGCAGTAGTCATCGATGGCTTTTAAAGCTGATTCATTTGAGCTTTTTTCCTCCATTGTCAGAATTCCAGCAATGATAGCTGTGGGCTGTTTGTTTGGTGTTTATTCCATGTAGAGGTTGCTATGGATATGGAGCCAGGCAACTCCCTAATGGCCACCAAGTGAACTGCAAGAAAAGAAAAGAAAAGAAAAAGGCATAATATACTAAAACTATACACAAATGTCTAACATAGACAAATTCTTACTTTTTTATCCCCAAAACGAAATGTTTAAAAGCAGTTTTCTAAGACACACAGCTTTAAATAGTGCATTCCTTTTGTCCTTTTATCCTTATCAGTTTGTCATATTTTGTATTTTGCTCACCTCCTTAATAGAATGAACTGATAATACTGATTAAAGTATAGTGTTTGGGTTACGTTTTATTTTCTGTGTGTATTATAACAATGAAGAAATAAAGTTTGTTTAAAAAAACATGTCTAATCTTTTCAGTACCTGACAATAGCTGGTACTTATATACTACTTATATAATAATTTTTCAGTGTCTGTAGAAAAAAGTCCTGTTCATGTCAATTTCACGGACAAATCAGTTAAATTGTTGGTATTTCTCCTTGACTCTGAGTTCAGAAACGAGCAGCAGACTTCATATCCCACAGTGCCACGCGAATGACGCATTCAGTGGACCTTCAGAGAAACCATGACAGTCGGCACAGATGTACACTTGGTGTTTTAGCAGCTGCCTACTCTCATGCAGTGTTCCCGTTTGTGTATATAAAGGAGTCGAGCTGACAGCGGACATGGAGCTCGACACGTCACTTTGTGATTATTCCTTCAATGGAGACGGCTTTCTGCTCCGACCTTAACGATAGCGGCAACAGAGCTGCAGCCAAGTGAGTGTCAGAGCGGTAGCAGCTGGAACACGCTCAATGTTATTATAACCACAGTCTTATTTTCTTCTTCAGCCCCAGTACAGCCTCTACACCAGAACGCCATGGTAAAATGACACCTTTCTAGTCTCTTAAATTCGAAATGCTTAGTGTTTACAAGTTCGTTTTTTTCTTTTTGTTTTTCTTTTTTTTCTTTTTTTGCTGACAGTCCAGTTTGACTGTGGCCGTGTTAGCACGTCAAGCTAATCTGCCACTAAAGTTGGAAACTGTTAAAAAATGGCTTCAGCAGGTGTTGTCCATTCTTTTTACTTTTTGGTATTGTTGTTTTTTCATTAATAGACGCTTATTAAATTAAGAGATACAATATGCTAGTTAGTAACCAGGGCTGTGTTTAAACTAGAGGACGTTGAATGTTTATAATATTACAGTGTTTCTCATATTTTTAATTATTGATTTTGCCGTATTCTATTTTTTTAAACCGCCACCACCTGTCTTTTTTTAGTTCATACAGAACGGACTAGCTGTTTTAAGTTCAACCACACGTGACAGCTGTTAGGTAAATATTTTACGCCCGAGTGAGTTTTTCTTTATTTTTTCATTATCCAAAAGACTGTGTGCTTTAGTATGACGAACTAACTTTATCAAAACTTTTTCTTCAAAATAATAACATCAGATGTGCACATATCTATTGCTGTATTTAAGACGAGGCTTAATAAAAATGTATTTGCCAGGGAACAGACCATATGTTGCCTGGTTGGCCTCACCTAAAATGAAAAAGAAAATGTTATATTGTGAAACTGGTGGAAGACAGTATCCCTGCAGATGACAACACTGAGATCCTTACAGAAGTTACTCTTAAAACTTCTGTGCATCTGGTATATAAGTCATGTCTTCTGTTGAGTTTGTAGAGTCTCTGGGACAGAAATGGGTTAGGGTTAACCTCTGGGTCCTTAAAAGGACAGACGCGTGTGTGTGTGTGTGTGTTGTAAAACATATTCTGTTACCTTATTTTTATAATTAATTCCCTCAGTCAATGTCCCATCCCAGAACCTTGAATAGGATGTGACACTCCCACGCCCTAAGAGGCAAAGCAAAGAATGAAGTCATTGTAAAAAATTGAAAACTGAGATAAGTCTAATTTCTACTTCATGTGGACAGTTCTCTGGGGTATTTTGCAGAATCAAAAACCTTTGCAGACGTGGAATTAGATCATTTCTGCATGAGTGTGCACTGCTAAAATGCGTCCCATGGAATCTATACTGTGTATTGAATTTCTAGGGGCGAATAAAAGAGCTACAGAGAGTGAGCTTTTGTGCACCCTGACTTGGAAATGTGTACTTTATAAAAGCTAGTTATGTCAAGAAGCTACAATCACAGAGCAAATTCAGTCAACCATGTTCGTGCATTTGCATCATAAAAGGCATCATAAAACTAGAGCACCTTTCCAAAACACTTTTAGGGGTGTTGGCTTAGTTCTCTTTCAACTTCCTGTCATCTGATTTCTTTTATGTACTTTCACAGTTCTTGGCATCGGCAGGATGTTCTTGTGGTTCTCAAGACGACTTTAACTATTGAATGGTGAAACCAGGTCAGTTTAAGTTTGCTTGAGAAAGATGCCTAATCCCCATTGACTCTTGGAGTTTTCATTGGACTTTGAACTCTAACCTGGATACAGAAAAAAGAATCATTACCCTGGGGTAAAGGAGAAGAACAGTTGCTGTACTCATTAAAGGACAGCTTCAGCTCGGTTCCAGCCCCCCTACTTTTGCCCTCCCTTGCACAAATACAATGCTGGGTACACTCTTGCGGAAGAACATGTCCCAGAAGCTGAGTGTGCTGCTGCTGGTCTTTGGCCTGGTATGGGGTCTGATGCTGCTACGCTACACTGTTCAGCAACCTCGACATCAGAGCAGTGCCGAGCTACGTGAGCAGATACTGGAGCTCAGTCGGCGATATGTCAAGGTCTTGACAGAGGAGAACCAGAATGCACCGGTTGGGTCACAGGGAGCCTCCATGGCAGGTTATGGTATGTTTTTAAGAATTATAAAAGTACTAAATAATAGTGTTTCTTAAATGGTGGGTCATGACCTAAAAGTGGGACATCAGATGTGTCCACACTTGTCTTCCCATTCTTGTATATTGACTATGTATATGTACTTTGTACAGGAAAACCTTCTGCCAATAGTTTACATTTGAGTTAATACTTTTTTATTGAAAACCTTGATTAATATTTAACAATTTTAAATTGACAGATGAATAATTTAAAAGCAATTTCTGCTACACAGAATTATTATTCAGCTCTCATTTTAAATAAATAGTATGTAGAAAATGTTGGTTAGTACAGAGTAAGTAACAAACCTTTTTTTCCCTGCAGGGGGTGCTATAAACAGTTTAATGCCCAACTTATTGAGACATATACACTGGAAAATTAGTATAGCCCTGTAACTATAACAAGATTCAGAAGGGCCTAAAAGGTATTTAATATTTAATGCCTTATCACAGACAAGACAGACCAAGCAGTTGGGATTAGATCATTCCATGCTGACTGGGTGTTTACCCCTGATATGTTTTACCCTTATACTGCCAAAAACATTGCAACAAAACTTTTAATCAAACCACAAGCAAAACAGTATTCTGGCCTCAACTAATTTTTTTTTTTAACATGAGAACTATCAATAGACTCATCATAGAGTCATCTCACTTTCTATATCTCTCTGGAACATCTCACATTCACAGCTGATCTGAAGAGGACTATAGCTGTGTTGCTGGATGACATCCTGACGCGGTTGGTCAAACTGGAGGGGAAAATTGATCTTGTGGCGAACTCCTCCTCTCCCAACACTTCACACATTGCAGGCGTCGCCCTTTTGTCAAGTCACCCGGGACAGAACCGCCTTCACCCACATGTGCCTCGAAGACTACCACGTCATCAAGGAGCCCAGCCATGATCACTGTTATCGTTTTGTTACACATCAAGCTTTTTCAGCCTTTTTCATGGATGTAACAATGTGAGACAAATAAAGAGCAATAGAGGGACTAATGGATGTCCACTTACACTTGGGATGCATATCAGAAATGACAAGAAGATCAGAAGGAAGAAAACAGACTTTTCCTGCTGTGTCCTTTACTATGGTGATATTTATTATTTTTTACAAAGACTTTCAATCACATTTGTATATTTTTTATTACTGATTTTGTTTGGCTTAAAACTAGCATTGTTTTATAATGCAGTTTGAACCCAATCATATTTAAATGGATAGAAAAAAATATAAACATAGAAATAAACATTGACTATCAAAGACACTTCAAACCCTTCCTAGGCAGCACTGTAACAACTTTTCATATATTCTCTCAAAATTAAGAACTGAACTTACCGTCACAATATCTAGAAACATTTAATTTATATTACAGTGTGCCACCAGCGCAAAAACTATAGTTAAACTGTAAGTGATAATCCAAAGAATGCTTTTTGCACTCCTGTCTGAATCCAATGTGTGTGTGTTTCATGCAACAACATTTGTGACTGCAGCAGAATTAATGTAATGTTGACTATTTGCCAATGTAAACATGACTTTCAGCAATTTGTCTTTGCTGTTATTCAGTGATTCTCTTGCCTGTTAAGGGAGCCGTTTTTATTCACGTTTAGAGAAGTCTGTCCTGTAAGGTTCATTTTTAGCCATGGAGTGCTGTGGATATGATTCACTGATGGCCCATCGCTCACACGTGTTCAGGGATTGTGTTTCCCTATGACTCTGTGATTGTAAATTAATGTACCGAGCACATCAGCTTTGAGTCTAGGCATATTTTACACTCTCTGAAGTATTAATTTTTCTTTAGAAGAAAGATGCTTGTGCATCACAGTAGTAAAATAACAAACAAACAACTGGTCAATGTGTTCATTCCGATGAATAAACAAGAGCAATACATCCATAAAAAATTTTGAGGGTTGTGTGAAAAACTGTTAATGTGGTTTTAAAACTAAAGAACATAAAGGTAAATGCTAACTCCCTCACTCTTTCTAATATCTTGACATCTTAGCAGTAATAGTTTGTAGAGTTTACTAACCTGAGTTTATTTTATGGTTGTTGAAAACTAAAAAAATGAGTCTGTTTACTATAAGTGGTGCCATAAATGTATGTTGTGGGCCGATCAGCTGCTGTGAAATAGCTTTACTAATAAATTTACCTCATGGAAAGGTGTTCTCTACAATCACTGTTTAATACTTTTATTCAAAAGCTGCATATTCAGCTTAAAAGAAGGAGAATATGTGATGTGCAGAATATCTTGTGCAATGTGCAATGATGAGCTTCTTTGTGAATAATTACCCACAGGGAATCTTCTGTGTACCTGTGAGGTGTGTGAGATGGAGAAGATGTTGCTTTTTGCTCTACATTTACTTTAATACCTGGGTCTTATTCCATTATTCCAACAATAAAAGACTGCAGGAAATATTAAAAGCTATTTTATGTTTACATTTTTAGTACAGAAAAGAAGAGGTGATTTGGAAACTAGTACAAATTCAGGATTGAAATACATCTGCAAAGAAAATAAGGGAACACTTTGATGGGGTTTGCACTTCTTTTTTGTGCATAAATTCTTATATGATGTACAGTATTTGTCTTAATAATGCAGTATTTTTTATCATGCACCTTTCTCCCCATAATGGCACATAGTATGGTTAGTTGGTTTTAAAATTGTATTAACAATTTTAAAATTGAAAAAAAAAATTATTTTTTTTTTGTTTTGTTGTTTTTTACAAGTTGTACATTTAGCTTTCCAAGCTAACGCTGGCTGGCTGACTGTACTAACCACGGGACGTCACGGAAGAGGTAGTGACGTCACACTGCGCAGTACATAAACACAAACCGTTTCACGCGCCATCTTGTAGCTAATTACGTGCTAAGCAAAATACAACGTTCAATATTAATATATAGGTGTTTTATATTTGTTTTTGAAAGAAACGATATAAAATGAGTGACACCAAGGAGGTCAAACGTGAAGCTCGGGTAAGTAGCTACCCTGTTTGGTGGCGTAAATGTCGATTTCTTTCTTCCCAGTCCCTTCAATTTTGTGTAGCTAACCATAACGCTGCAACAGCTACTAGCTTCAGCTAATGCTAATTGCTAGCTAAATCCCACACTATTATTCCAAGGTCATCCGACCGCAGGTGATTATTTGAAACGAAACCATTACAACAACAATGCTAGGGCGATAAGTAATTTTCAAACAGCCGTTAATTTTTGTTTACAATTATTTTGCACCATATGTAAAACGGTATCTAAAATATACCAACAACATTCCTAGGGGCTCTTAAGTCTACTCTAACGTTAACTCTAGATTTATATTGTGCAGCTGAAATTAAAGATGAAATAGGGTCAAACTTAATCCTATTTTATATAAGACAAAAATGTGTTTCGCAGACATTCGAAATTATCTGGGATTTATATCTTGGTCGGCAGTTAAAGGACAACAATAACTGACATGAAATCCATAACGTGTCATTTTAAAAATCTCCAGCATTTAAAAAGTGCACTGTCTATGAATTGAAAGAAATCTAACGTAGAAAATCTTTTAACGCTTTAATGGCTGAGTAATATCCGAAATATAAGTGTAAACAACCCCATATTATATATGTATATATAAGCTCACTGGATCGTCACTTTGGTTCAATAGATATTATATATTTATTTATACTTAAATAGAAAGGTACGGTCAGCTCAATTTGTAACTTCATAACTAAGTACTCTAGCATGCACAGTGCATCCTTAAATCTGTGGCAAAGTAATAATTTAAACTAACAAGTCTCAAATATATAAAATATATTTACGTATTATTATTCCAGTCAGATAAGTTTATACTGTAGATGCAACATGAAGCCACTTTTCTTTGCCTGCTTTTTCCTCCAAATGATCTAAAATCTTGCTGAAGTTAAGTTTTTCAGATTAATGACCTTTTTTGCACCTTTGCTGAGTATATGAATACATATGTTATTGTGCCTATTTTAGTGTTCTCATATCAAATTATCTCTTTTCTCAAACCTTTGACCTTAATTTTATGAAATGTTCTTTTTTCACTAAGGTTATTGGTCGTGAAGGATTTGAAGAGTTTTATCCAAGAATGATGAAGAAAATTTTCAAGATAAAAGAAGGCTAATGAAAACATGTACAGAGCAGTACATAGAAGTGCAAAGGGTGGAAAATGTGACGGAAGAATGGTGTCAGATAGAAGCGCTTGTGGTATAATGGCTAAAATCAGAGCCGGTTTCAATTTGGGTGAAGAAAAGAAAAACAGACCTGGAATCAGAAAATAAGAAAACTGAAAAAAGAAGAATGAAGAAGGATAGAAATCCCGAGAAAAGGGAGTAGCGTGTAAAGAATCTGGAAGAATGAATGTGTCTCTTGGTTAAGTAAATACACTGTATGTGTCATGTCTTCTCTTCACTGTGCTCTTTTCTGTTACATGAAGATGCATGTTTTACCTTTTTTTTCTTGAATCTCCCAGGTTGAACTTTCATATTCCTTTAGTATGTAGCTAAAATACTAAAATTTGTTCTACTTACTTAATTTTGAAAAACTAACCCTTTTCTTCACAGTACATTTGCTTTATATTTAGATAAATGGATTGTATTTGTACTGCATTTTCTGCTACATTTGTTTTTGTGTGTATGTATGTAAACAAATACATTTACCCATACAAAAGTTGTTAATATGACATTATGGCGATAGGAATCACGGGCCCAGTCTAAATCCGATCATGGCAGTCCGGCTCGGGCAAAGTCTGAGAGCAGGTCCGGCTCCCGTAGCCATTCTCGAGCCTCTAAGCATTCTGAGTCAAGATCCCACTCTCGATCGAGATCTCGGTATGCTATCTATATTTTGTTTTTAGCTCTATTTACAATATAATAGAACAAAAAGTTCATGATGTCTTATGATTTATTATTTTCAGGTCTCATACTAGACGACACTCATACCGACGCCATAGCCGCTCACATTCTCGATCCTACTCTCGTAAGAAGTCGCATTCTCGTTCCTTCAGTCCAGAGTACCGTAGCAGGAGAGGCGAGAGTGATTCTCCCATGTCCGACCGCCGTCGTCATGGCAGCAACAGGGTAAGTTAGACAGGAGCTTAACATGCCATGTTGGGCTCCATGTTCTTTTTTTTCTTTTTCTTTTTAAACCAGCAGTTAACCTTGAACAACAGCACTAATACTCTTGAACCTGTGTGTAAGAAAGGACCGTTCAGATCTAACCTTCTTAGAGAAAGTTTCAAAAATTGTCAGTGTTGGTGTGAAATTACAAAATAAAGAAAATAAAAACTTTACTTTTTTCTGTCCTTCCAAAATGTCAAGCATGTCTGCATTTTTTAAGCTAGTATCAAAGAATTCTGGCTCCCCCTGTCTGTGTTTTCGTGCAGCGCATCCTTGCAGTCTTTATACCATGGCAGAATGAACAGTTAGTAAAAGTAAAAAAAAAAGTTGTATAGGCTGCTGTTTGTATGAATATGTGACCTGCTCAGGTAACGTTTATTTTTCCTGACACTAATCACCCATGTCCTTTGTGTTGTAGTGTTTTAATTGATAAAAACTAGTAGCACTTTTATGTGTATTTCTATATGTACCATTTAAAATAAAAGTGATGTATCCAGGTAATTGTGGCCAATGCAGTGGGAAACCACGTGGCATTTAATAACCCCATTTTTTAACCTTTAATCCTTTCATTATATCAACAGAGCCATGGCTTCACAAAAGAATCAGACAGTCATGACAAAGATGCTGATGTTAGGGTATGTGGACCTTCTAACATGTTGGGGAATGTTTGTGGTTAGGTCAAAGCTGCTCCTCCTGTGACAAAATGTACAATTAATTGACAACAATGGATTGAAAATATGAAGAAGAATTGCTTTTACACACACATTCCCGAATGGAGTTTCTGTTACATGTGCTCCAATATAATAATAACAAAACACACACTCCAAAGATCTGAAACAAGCCACTTGTATGACAGTTCATCCAGTATGACCATCTCAGCACCACTCATGGTTATGTTTAAAACAAACTGCTGCTTTTTATGCTCTACATAAGTGGTTCCTACATTTTTTTCTGCAGTGCCCCACTTTTGGTAGATGGCACGATCTTTGAGCCCCCAGCATGAAGACATCCATGTCCATTGCTTCAAATCTTTACTTAATTATAAGCCTATGGTGTTATACTTCTGCATCCCTTGTGTCTGCCCTCCACATTGGCAAACAATTTTCAATAGAATATATAACCATGCAAATGGTAGACTGGGAGATTGTGGCATCTTTTAAATGATGGGCATGGGGTTATTCACCTTACACAATCAGTATATTGTATCACTAAGGTCACATTAAAGTTTGTTCTCCAGTATAAAATGGTATAATCATTTATTTATATATATTATAATAAAAGCAATTAGTTGTATGCACAAGGTGTAAGACTAATTAACACTGTCTTTGAACTGTTAAACTGTGGAGAAATTGTTTGGAGAGTTTGGTAGAAACGTCTAGACACGACCCCAATATCTGACCCCTGTTGTTGACCCTTTCAGGCAAACCCCGACCCCAGCACTTGTTTGGGTGTGTTTGGCCTGAGTCTGTACACCACAGAGCGTGACCTGAGGGAAGTGTTCTCACGTTATGGTCCCCTGGCTGGGGTCAATGTGGTGTACGATCAGCGCACTGGTCGTTCCCGTGGTTTTGCCTTTGTTTACTTTGAGAGAATGGAGGATTCCAAAGAGGTAGGTGAAGTTATTGTTATTCATGTCATTCATGTGGTCACTGCCCTGAAGGAATAATATCTTGTCTCCTATTATTAGTCTTATTAACTGTAATTATTTTAATGTTCACAATTTATAGTTATGTTTTATGAGCACATGTTGATGTTATGTAAATTTCTTATACATCAGAATCGGAATGACTTTACAACCCCCTAATGACAAGAATTGTTTATGACTGAGCTAAATGTGAGTTTGGTAGCAATAGCAGCAATAACGGAAGGAAATAATGGCAGTGTAATGTATGAAACACAACAGCAGCTAAATAGCAATAGGCAAGTAGATAATTTTATTTTCTCGTCAGTAAAACATGATATTAAAACTAATGGTGTTCTATAAACACGACAAAATAAGATCAGGTGAGATGAGCACAATATGAAAATAAATTCGACAATTGAACGACTGTGTGTACTATGTATGTGTGATCAAGCTTTTTCACATATATAGTTTGCCTTTTTATGTTTTCAAAGGCTAGCTTTAAGGTTGTAAACTTTTTTTTTTTTGCTTTTCCTCTTCATTTTAAGAGAAGTGATTACATATTTTGACCACTAGGTGTCTACCTTTCCCCACCTGTCAAACGCCATTTAGCCAGCCATCACGGCGAGTGGTTTTGTGCGTCATATTGACTGGCCTTTGATAATTGAGTAATTCAACAGAAGTCTTGTGACATCTTCTGCGCGCTCTTATTCTCCAGGCGATGGAGCGAGCCAATGGCATGGAGCTGGATGGCAGGCGCATCCGTGTAGATTTTTCTATCACTAAACGTCCTCATACTCCCACACCTGGGATCTACATGGGGCGACCAACTCAGTAAGTTCATCACTGACTCACCCAGACTGTCAAGTTTTTCTGTTACTGTGTCATTTAATTCACATCAACAATGAACTTTAGCCTCATCCTGAGTCATGGCCAGAAACATTATGGTCAGAAGTTTGTTTCCCCCTGGAGCCAATTTGTAACAGTTTTACTGAGGGTAAAAGAATATACTCAGAATCATTAGCTTGATCTTGTATTTCAACAGCAATGGTGGAGGTGGTGGAGGTGGTGGTGGCGGCAGTGGTGGCGGCAGCAGCAGCAGGAGGGGAAGAGACTCTTACTACGACCGGGGCTATGACCGCTACGACAGATATGATGAGTATGATTACAGGTACAGGTACGACTCTAATTATAAGTTATAAGCTATTGTGCAGCCATCTGTTTGCTAATTCTGGTGCCTGACAATAGAAGTGTAACTTAATGTCTGTTCTGCAGCCGCCGACGCTCACCGTCTCCCTACTACAGTCGATACCGTTCCCGTTCACGCTCCCGCTCCTTTAGCCCACGTAAGTGTGAAGATCCGTACAAAGAAGTGCAGCTGACGCAACTCTGTCGACAGTAGACGTTAGACTGTACTAACATAGCAGGCAAAAAACATTCATGATTATGTTGACATTAGAACAGCTCACTCCTGTGCTCATTGTGAATTTTGTCTTTTCTCTTCACAGGACAATACTAAAGTTTGCTCGTTTCATCGTTGAGTTTCTCTCCAGTAGTTGAGTTTTGATATTAAGATTTCAGAAAAGATTTGTTTTTTGCACCTGTCTGCATCACTTGCTTCAGAGTTTTAAATTGTTCTTGTTTACGTGCAACAAATGGTCATTATTAAATGCCTTCAATACAGCCATGTGGAACATGAGCGAAGAAGGGTCGGATGCTTTTGATTTCCTTTGTTTCCATAGGGGTTGTTAGTTGTTTTTTTTTTTTTTGTTTGTTTGGGGGGTCAAGATAGTCTCATGAGACTTGCACTGACATTTATGTTACGAACTTGACTTAATAACAATAAAAAAAATCAAAAACATGAAATGAATGTGAAAGATGTGTGATTTCCATTTGGTTAAGCCATAAGACAGAGTTTGCAGGTAAGAAGCAGAGATTTCAGTTAATTATAGGTTGATCTGTCTGATACCATTTTTATCAGGTTTGCATTAATTATTTGTGTAAAAGAAAATACCAGCACAATGGTTTATAAGTTTATAAGGTGAATTGCTGTCTTTATGCTCATGAAATTAAACATTGTTTGGACAGGTAAAGTTAACATGTTGTTGAGTCTGTTCACACATAGTCACATTGATGTCCTCTAAGCTTTTTTCCAAACAGAGAAATTGTACAAATCTTTGTTTAAAATGTATACAAAATTCAAGTGAAACATAACATTTACTTTTCCCAAATGTTGAACATTCATGTGATGGTTGATTTCAAATGATCAACATTTAGTTTGATGCTTTAAATATGAACTGTCACAGTGGTTATAGGTGTTGTTTCCAGTCTGGTTCTCCTGCCTTAGTGCAGTGAATGGAGACAGAACTACAACCTGTTGCTCCATTAGTAAAAGAAATCAAACTGTTGGATCATTTAGATCATACGTTGGTGGATTATATGAAGGGTTTAAAAAAAGGAAACACCTTTGTTTGGCCCACAAGTTCTGCCTTTATTAAGACTTCCCAAGTCAATCCCAGTGACTCCTAGATTAAACAGGATGTGGAAGTGTTTCTTTTTAACTGAACTCAATCAAGGCCACAGTTGGGTGTCTTGTAAACCACTTTTCTGGTCGATTTTTGCACTAAAATGTAGGTTAAAACAAATTTTGAGTGTAGGCTGTAATTTTTTAACCAGTTTTTACTTTACGCAGCAGGTGCACACATTTTTTTTAAAGTAACCTTGATCTTTTGAGATGTTAAGTTTTATTGTTAAACTGCTAAATTTTCTTTTACTGAAACGGCACAATGACATGGATGTCACGGCAGCAGCTATCCACCAATAGGGTGACCAGTAGGGGACAGAATGGCTATTCATAAGGAGTGATCTCCTGCAGCGCTAACTCACCCGAAGAACTTGGAATCAGATATTCAGACAGAGACATGTGCATTATTTTCTGCATCAAAGGAAAAAAAATCTGGATTTTGTGAACCATTTCCTGGCAGTGAGAGTCTGCTGCTTTGCAATGATACACATCAGGGCCACATTCTGGAACCAAACCCAGGCAGAGCATTTTAATCTACATAAAATATACCATGCCATCTTTTCTCAATTTTTCTAAGAAACCTAGCACATTTTTCAAAGTGTAGGGCTCTAAAGTTTATTATAGTCAACTCCCCATGCCCCAGCTGTGACCTGTGGCTTAAAGGTTTAATCACATACGGACAGGGAGCATGGAATCCCAAGCGTACAGGACAATGCCTGAAGGTTATCAGAAAAAGACCACATGAATGTGTTCTATATAGTTAACACACATGGATATTGGCATGGGATTAAATTATATGCAAATTTTGTAATCAAACTCATTAGGATAATATCAGAAGGCATTATGTTTTACTTGTTTGCTGCTAAATTGTTGCGAAATGTTTTAAAGTAAAATTACTATATTATTGGTTTATTTACATATGTATTTCTAGTTTTATCTGCTTAAGTTCACAAATTACACACTAGTTCATCGTGTTCATTACTTGTTTAGAGTTCAGTTTGTTTTGCTTTATATAAATTATAATTATCAACTTTAAAACAAACTATTGCAACAATTAGCACACATTTCATATCTTTAGTTTATTTAAAGTGACAAACCACAAACAAAAACTTCATTAATAAGATTTATTCATTTGGAAAGTTTATACTTGAACATATCTTTTAAATAATCACCTTTTTTTATTTCAGCATATCCACACAGTTTTGCTTTAATTCATTATTACTTTAAATGATGATAAAAAACACTAATGTACACATATTAGCATTTATTTACAAAACTTTCACTTGGGAAAAAATACACGTTCAACTCTATTTCACCCCATATTCAATAGTTTAACACAGTTTAAACTACAAAGTGTGTAAAACTACAAGTCTGATAAATATTTTAAATCCGCAAACACCCCTTAAAAACAACAACAGTATTTCTAAATTAATTTTTAGCTTTAAAATTATTTAAGCATATTTTCAAAATCACACAAACTGTTAAAACTAATTAGAAAATGTTTTAAAAACCTGAACTTTCAACAACAGAAATCTTGACGTAAAAGTGACGCAAAGCTGAAACGTTACAGTACATTAAAGCTTCACGAGCAACACAAGTCTGCAAACATACACAGGAATGTCAGGTAAAAAGCTATGTAAAGAGCACATTTTAAATGTTTGTAAAAACAGCAAGAATGTATGGAAAATTCACGTTGGTTACAATAGTTTATACATTTATGCACAAAAAAGTATAATCTACACATTTCTGTTTAATGGTTGACTAAAACAAATACTCTTTACACCTTTTAGCAATAACTAATTCTGCACAGAACATCACCATATTACATTAAATTTCAAATTTTTACCAGAAGAAATTCCAGTAAAAACGTATAGCAATGGATAATGGCAGATGTCTGTCTGAGATAAGCAAAAAAAGTTAACAAAAAAATGAAATGTTTCTTTTTAAAATATGCATTAGCATTTAGAAAATCGTTTGCTGACGTAGATTAGCAAAATACTTCAAATAATTTTCCACAATACGTCTTCTGGGTGCAAACAGTATAAAAAACAATAACTCTAACTGTTTCTCTCATTTGTTTTTGTTTTTTTCTTTTTTTTAATATTCAAATTATCGGCAAAAAAAATCTACATTTCCTTATTAATTTTTTGTGGGGTAGAAAAAAGTAGGCTTTAAAGCCAAGAATATTTCCTGTCGTGTTTTGAGAAGAAACAAACCGCCATTTTCTACTGACTTGATGGAGTCATTCCATGGAATCTGTAGAGGGTTTTATAAATATACATTTGTATGTTTTGGATCCTAGAATAGTGAACTTGATGTGCTGTAGAATATTATCCTGACCAAAAAAAAGTTACATTTTAGACAGAGTTGAAAAGACTTTCCATCAGGTAGTGTTTACAGTTAAAGGTTCCAGATTTGCTTTAACATGGCGCACGTCTGTGCTTCTGTGACCGACTGTGGCTATAGCGACCAGTCAGAGGATTTAATGGTAACCACCCATGTGGAAAGAATACAATATTAAATATTTGGAGTGCCTATTATTAAAATATAAAAAAACAAACAAAACAGAGCAGTCTCACCCGAGGACAGAATTCCTGGATTTGAGTGTAGCCTATATGTCAAAGCCTTTCGCGTGGCGGCCGTAGACTATATCTTGGAGAGACTATGGCACGAAGCTGAAACTTTTTGGCCATAAGCTGCGTTTTTCACGTATACACCCCACCTCCCTCCACCCTCTACCTCTTCCTCTCTCTAAAAAAAAAACTCCATCCATGACTATGTTTAACAGCCTAGACTGTGCCGTTGCTTCCCCTTGCTGCAGGAACATTCCCCACATATATGGAAACAGTCTGGTCTGGAACTTTATGTCTGCTCCCCCTATGGAATTTGTCCGTGGAGAAACTCGGGGGGCGGGGACACTTTCTGTACATTCCTCAGCGATACATTCACTCTCTCTGCACAAACACTCACACACATATGCACCCCCCTCCCCCCCTCTCTCTCTCACTCACACACACTCTCTCACGGCAGCAGCCATGCGTCCGTTCATCCAAACCGACAGCCACGACTGCAGCCTCTATACTATTTAAACCATTGGGCATCTATAAGTCTCTTGATCACAGGCGCACTGATCTACTGTCCTAAAGGGATTTACAACGGGAATAATTCATTACGACTAAAGTGGGTTGTGAGAAAAATCAAAATTCACCGAAGAATTACGGTTGCATCGGATAAATATATTACATACAGATCAATATGGAAAAAATCTATGGCTTTTACCGCTGGGGGCAGGAGTAATTCATAGATGCACAGCGTGACTCCAAAAGTTAGAAACAAATTATTTAACAATGAAATTACACAGAAAGTATGATCGGAGTGGAGTTTTAATGTGTCTGTCTTTAAAAAGTATCCATTCACGTGTGTGTAAATGGATCTAAAAGTCTGAGAAAAGTTTTCTGAGGGAGCGGCTATAAAAGGAGGCGCGGATTGGCTCTCGGACTCAGATTTCGTTCCATCCTTATGTCTTCAGCTCAGGGAGGAAACGTGTGAAGCACAAATGCATAGTTGGCGCGCTGATTCATATAGAATACTAGAGTCCAGGAGCCAATGAATGAGCGCGTTTAGGCCGAGCCAGCAGCAGTAGTACGGTGCCCGGTTGCTTCTCTGTGATTGGCCAAGCCCCCCGACCAATCACAGACCCCAGGGTGTGTCTTTTTTTTTTTTCCAGCAGTGGAGGGTTGAACCTACAGACACAGAAAACTCATAGCCCCAGTGTTTGTGTGAATTCACTGGCAATGGACCCAAAACTGAAATGTTAACCATGCTTTACACGAGCATAAACACACCTAGATAATGGAGAGAGTAAATTAAGAATTTCATCTAAGATTTCTGAAGTGGAGAGCAGAAATAAATGTCAGACCCACAGAAACTTACTCTGGAAGTTTCTTTTTTGTCAGAACCAGAATCACCTTTAATAGTGTCTACTAATATTTACAAGGATTTTAACTGCAGTTTTCCACTAACCACAGGGGACAATAAATCTGCATAATTATGAAAATTTTAGGGAGAGGTAAAATAAGAGATGCGTAAGTAGATTTGGCTGTAATGTAGAAAATTAAATTATACACAAACGTAGATAAAACAACAACAAAGACAATGTATCTACATTTTGCACAAGGATCTCATAAACTGCTGTGTACTTTTAACTGAAACCATTTTTAAATGTTTTCACACAATTTTACAACATAGTCAAGTGGACATACCATTAACTTGTGTTTAGAAAATTAAACCTTATATTATTTAGGCGTCCTCATGGTTTACCTGAAATATGTGCTAAATTTTTACACCAGTATTGTTTTTCTTCAAGTGTAAGTGATTACAGTTTGTTCCAATGCAATCATTCTCAACATTACAGGTCAGAAGGTTTTAGCACACAAAGAAAAAGTAGGAATAATCACATTCCACAAGAATGAAGAACATGAATTATAACTACTGGTTCCTTTTCTTCTTTCACTTGCTAAAAGTAAAAACGGGAAGCCAAGCAATGTTTGTTGTGTACCATAAATCAAGAAAACATGTCTTTTATAATTTATTTCCCGTATTTTTGATTTATCATTTTACACTTAACTCAATTAATAAAAGAAAATAAATCTAAAAAAAAATCAAACACCCTGTCTCCTAAAACTATAGTGCAGTCATGAAATAAAATAATGTAAATAATCTCGTTATGCATAACAATGCTACAAATAAGTGTAAAGTTATTTTGAAATGTATTTAAATGTGAACAATGTATTTTCATGATACAAAATGTTTTTATATCCTAGTTTACAGCAATAGGTATTTGTATCACTATGTTACCAAATTATTTTCTGTTGCTGGATTAATACTGAAACACATTTTAAGGTCAAATAATAAACCTAGTCACAATTTAATTAAATTATGTCACAGTAATATTATTTTAAAAGGACTACTGTGGCTGTACTGTTCTAAGAGGTAAAATATGGGTAGAGTGACATTGTAAGCCTTATTATCTTTTTTCAAGAACACTTTTAAAACAATAATGTTGTAGGCTTTAATCCTTTTAAAATGCACAAGTGTCAATTTAAAAAAATGCTAAAACTGCAATTGAAAAAATAAAATTAAAGTCTCACAGCCAAAATAATGCACATAAACCTTTCACCTACAAATAGGTAAAAAGTTATCTACGTTTTAGTGTTAGTTCAACTGCAGAGCGACCCATCGCCTGAACCATCGACCTTCGACGTTGATTTACAAAGGGTCTTATTGACAATTGTGAAATATTTCAGCATTTTGCACGTGGTTTATTTGGGCTGTCCTTTTACATAGAACTCTGGGGCACTTGGGAAACAGGAGACCCCACCCTCTTTAATGCAAATCCATACCAGAGGTTCAGCAATCAGACTTCGCCATGTGCCTTCGCTCAACACGGATCGTGCAGGCTCCCTCCCTCTACCAAATGGCCAGAAAGTTGGATAAAGCCATGTGGAGTGGTGCTGCAACACAACTGTCGCCCCCTCTCCAGTATTGTGTGGAGTATGGAAGTAAAAAAGTCGGGTCGCTGTTGGACTTTGAGTTGTGGAAGGGGAAGGGCATGGCTCCACTCACAGAAGATGGATGCCGCCATGTGGATGGTGCTGTAGGCTACGTGTCATTCACACGATGAGTGGGGGCCCAAAGAGTGGCACAGGGACCCTCCCTTTGCCCTGTACTCCCCCACGTTCAATATGCAACTTAACAGCACTGTGCAACATTATTTATGAATGACCCCACCCTCCAGCACTCCACTGTGGCAAGAGTGCAACGCACTTTAGACAGCCGTGCGCACAAACCCCCGCAATATCAGCGCCTCCATGCTCAGGAGTGTGCGCAAACTCAGTCCCGCTCTTACCAGTCCTCCTGAACCCGCCAATCACAGACGAGGATTTGCAGAGAAAGGCAAGCGAATGTGAATCTGGTAAAGATACACTTGGTTCTCACGGAATCCCTTTACGCACACAGCTCGACAAGTCCCCCCCCCACCCCACCCTCAAACCACCACCCCCAAACCACCCTTTCTTCTCCACTCCCCTCTGCTGTCCCCACCCTAGATTCCCGAGCAATTTCCCCAATCCCAAACACTTAATTGAGCAATTGAGATTCCTCACGTGTGGGCTGATTTGTAGTTTGAACACGTGGCTCATTCAATAAGCCGGAATAGCAGTGGATTTTTCTCTCCCCCCTTCTTCTGCTTTTTCTTATTATTATTCTATGCCCTGGACTTACAGGCGGGCGCCAGCCTTACCGTGCGTGTGACATCCTCTGTCTGTTTGCCAAAACGGTTTGGGGGAAGACACAAAGTAGTTTGTCCTTTTTTTTGCACAGCCCGCCATCGTTCGGAGACGCGAGATTAATAATTGAGCGTTTATTTATTGCGTTGTACAGGGAGAGAGAGAGAGGGAGAGAGTGAGCAAGCGAGAGAGCGAAAGAGAGAGAGAGAGCGAAGGGGCGAAGGAGCGGAGCGCAAACGCACCGCGAGGCTGCCAGTTTAAATCTATCTGTGGCTCCAACGACCGGGAAGCACGCCACGGCCGCTCCGTAGTGAGTAGTGAAGGCGATTTAGGCTGCTACTCCCAACAGTGCACACCCGTGCGCGCATATACCTGAGTGTCGCTCAGCGCGGAAGCAATTGTCTTTTTTCGGGCGCAAAACAACATGAATAAGCTATACATCGGCAACGTGAGCGCACAAGCGACCGAGGAGGACTTCGAAAGTATCTTTGAGCAGTGGAAGATTCCGTACGTACGTCCGTTTCTCCTTAAAAGTGGCTATGCCTTTGTGGAGTGCCAGGACGAGAAGGCTGCGATGAAGGCCATCGATGTACTTTCAGGTGAGATTTTTTCTTAAAAATAAAAACAAAATTACATGTATAAATGGCAAAAACAAGCAACAAAAGTAGCATTGGAGAAGAGCTACGAACTGCTGCAGTGTGTGTGTATGTGTGTGTGTGAAGCTTTCATTCACTTAGAAGGGCCCTTGTGAGAAATGCATGCAGCTCTGTAGGGTGGGGGTGTAGCCAAGCATTTCTGCCTCTCACACAACAGTTACTTGGCCTTTTGACACCGTGGGGATCAGGGAAATGGCTGTCCCAAAGGCTGCTTTTGTAAATTTGCAACTGACGTTAATGGTGGAGCACGACGTGAAGACGAAAGCTCTAGGTTGTGTGTAGGTTATTTGCAGTTCAGGGCAGCGCTGAGTGTGTGTGTGAGTGTGTGTGTGTGTGTGTGTGTGTGTGCACTGAGTTGGGCTTCATTGTGGGGTCTGTCACCTAGTCCACTTTGGTACAGATTAAGGCTTAAGGAGTGACTTTCTGTATTTTAACTGTTGCAAATGAAACGTGGCCTCACATCCCAGTTACTTAAGTGCACGTCTTTTGCAATGACCACAGCTCGCTAAATTCTGAAGCCATTTTTGCCCATGCAGACACACCAGGTGGTTTAATTGTGCTGGTCAAATGTAGGCCAACTACTAACGGGGCCCCCACCACCATCAGCACCACCACACCGTTTGCGTTTCGTGTCTGCCCCTCGTAGTCATTTGTTCCCTAACTTCACCATGGTCCACACAGGACACGTTACACTGGAGCTAAATTTGCTATTTTACGTATTGAGCTCCATTTTGCCCTGCTCAGATTTAAATCACCTCCTGATAGTAATGAAACACAGTGCAGGAAATATCCGCCATGTCTGCATGTGCCTGGTTTCATTTCGCACGTATTACGACCAAAAAAAAGTCGTTATTTATACTTTAAATATAAGACAATGAGGTGAAGACGTATGTCAGTGTTTCAGGTTAATATTTATTTTGAAAATAAAATTGCTGCGTTTGGTGTTCTAGGTAAAGTTGAACTCCATGGACAAGTTCTTGAAGTTGAGCACTCGGTTTCTAAACGTCAAAGGTAGGTCAAGATTTATTTATTATTTTGCACCCAACACTCCTATTACTCCCCTTCACTCTCTCTCTCTCTCTCTGTCTCTCTCCGTTTACTTGCTACCAGAAGCCTTTATGTGTTTTTAAGCTGACTGCATGTGTGTGTGACTTCGGTTTAAAACATAATTTTCTAAATAACTCCGGGTGGTCCATGAAAGCAGGGACTCCCCCTCCTCCTATTCGCCATGACTTAAGCAGCCCTCCACTGCCTGACTAGCACATGCTGGTGTCTTGTAAATCGCTCGCCCACTATTGTGTGTTTTATTGTAGCACCACGTAGTAGTTTTACTTGGTATTATTTGCGCTGCAACCCCAGGGCGGTTGGTAAAAGTCGAGTGTGCTGACTGCCACAAAGGAGTGTTGTACAGTGAGAGCAGGCAGTGTTGGAGGCGAACACAGGCCTGCTGGAGTCGTCCATTTGAGAAGGATCTGCCCGTCATTCTTTCTGCCTGCCCTGCGCTTCCGCCCTCCTCTTGCATGAGATGGACTCCCAAACGCGAGTGGAATGGGGAGGTTTGGGCCCCAAGTCACGAAAAAGCCGACTTTTCAGAGTTCTGACCCCCGCAGCCACACATTCCAATGATCACATGTGAGGAAGTGAACTGCAGATATTTTTCGCCATGTCTGCGTAGCAGACGAATGAGGGGAAATGCTCATTTTTGGCTCTGAGAGCGTGTATTTATACTAGTGACATGTGGCGTTTAATGGTCTTAAAACGTCTTCTGTTAGTTTAATTGGCGTGGTATTTTTTTATATAAATGTACGTAAGTGTGACTAAATGTTTATTGCGATTTTGTTTTAAAGATTTGCATTGATAAAATGCATTTTTACGCAAATAAACGAGCCACGTTTTCAAAAATTAAAAAACAATACTACTTAACGGGGTTTCAATAAATATTTAAAGGTTGCCAGACTGTGTTTTAAAAAAAATGACGTGCATTTTATTTTGCACCTGAACGCCACGTCAGTTTTCTAGTAGTTGGTGGACTCGCTCATTCGCAGCCTTCGTTAATCGTCCAGGTGATCTTAGTGGGGGATTTTTGTTTTTTATTTTTTATACATAGTTCCTTCACAAAATGGTGCTGATCAGCACGATGTGGTGACGTTGCTGTGTGTAAGCGGGTGTGCTGTGTTGGCCATGGCTGCAACAAGAGTCGAGTTTCAGCTTCATTTCCAAAAAAGCAAAATTGCCCTCCCATTGCACATGGAACACAGCACTTGTGAATGGCAACACACACGTAAAGAGGAATCCCTCTCTGCATTCCAGCCTGAAAATATCAGCTGGGTGTTTGGGCATTCGCCATGACTTAACCTTTGAACTCCCCCCGTGGAAAATGGCAGTTCTAAAAACAAGGGGACCAAAGTAAAATCCTCCAAAGACGAAGTGTGCTGATATACTCTAAATTGTGAATTATACATTTGGTGCCCAGTCTTTAAAGTTAAATCCCTGGTTTGTCTTAAAATCTGTTAAATTATTTAATAGGTGCTATTTGAACATATTTGGATGATTTTATGATCTATGGTAAAGACATTAAATTAATTCAAAATATCTTGTAGAAGTTTTGAAATTTTTTTTTTTAATCCTCTCACCCACGTCCTCCCTCGACTCTCCTTGTATTTTTAATTTGCATTCAAACATTTGTTTGTGTTTTCCTGTCAGTCTTCAAACCCTAAATATCATCCAAGTTCACTTTATGAACAGGATATTATTGCCATGGTGGCATTTAAATTTTAGCTTGGACAAACCCTGACTTTTGGTGTTTGTTTACTGCATGAAGTTGTTTTATTATTTTTTTAAAAGTAAATCTGCTAAAGCAATACTTGTTTAAAGTAGTAATGTTGACGTTGATATGTTAGGTTCCTGGTCATTTGTTTCTGTAAACATGAGTCATAGTTGAGTTGAGTTTTAGCTTTCATTTTGAGTCCATGACACTGTTAGTAGACATGGCTTTTGACTATATACTATACTGGGTCAAAGGGTCACCGTGGGGCCTCGCAACGTAAATTAAAATTTAGCCTGAAGCTGAGGGGTGGCACAGGATTATGAACACAATCCCCTGTTTTTACTCTGAAAGTAGCAGTTTTACAGAAGCTGTTAAACCCAAATCTGTTTACTTTGTTTTGTATTGTAAAATGCATGCAAAAGTATTTGCATGTGTCAAGTCAGAAGTGCTTTAGTCTGCGTGAAAACAGGTATGACCCATTATATATATATATATATATATATATATATATATAAAATAATCTGACTCTAGTTCTGTGAAAATTCTGTGGAATCTGTGTTTTAGAAAAGTCCCCACAAGTATAGCTATACCAGAAAAGCAACTCTCTCTCACACTGCTTTTGTAAATTTGCAACTGACGTTAATGGTGGAGCACGACGTGAAGACGAAAGCTCTAGGTTGTGTGTAGGTTATTTGCAGTTCAGGGCAGCGCTGACTGTGAGTGTGTGTGTGTGTGTGTGTGTGTGTGTGTGTGCACTGAGTTGGGCTTCATTGTGGGGTCTGTCACCTAGTCCACTTTGGTACAGATTAAGGCTTAAGGAGTGACTTTCTGTATTTTAACTGTTGCAAATGAAACGTGGCCTCACATCCCAGTTACTTAAGTGCACGTCTTTTGCAATGACCACAGCTCGCTAAATTCTGAAGCCATTTTTGCCCATGCAGACACACCAGGTGGTTTAATTGTGCTGGTCAAATGTAGGCCAACTACTAACGGGGCCCCCACCACCATCAGCACCACCACACCGTTTGCGTTTCGTGTCTGCCCCTCGTAGTCATTTGTTCCCTAACTTCACCATGGTCCACACAGGACACGTTACACTGGAGCTAAATTTGCTATTTTACGTATTGAGCTCCATTTTGCCCTGCTCAGATTTAAATCACCTCCTGATAGTAATGAAACACAGTGCAGGAAATATCCGCCATGTCTGCATGTGCCTGGTTTCATTTCGCACGTATTACGACCAAAAAAAAGTCGTTATTTATACTTTAAATATAAGACAATGAGGTGAAGACGTATGTCAGTGTTTCAGGTTAATATTTATTTTGAAAATAAAATTGCTGCGTTTGGTGTTCTAGGTAAAGTTGAACTCCATGGACAAGTTCTTGAAGTTGAGCACTCGGTTTCTAAACGTCAAAGGTAGGTCAAGATTTATTTATTATTTTGCACCCAACACTCCTATTACTCCCCTTCACTCTCTCTCTCTCTCTCTGTCTCTCTCCGTTTACTTGCTACCAGAAGCCTTTATGTGTTTTTAAGCTGACTGCATGTGTGTGTGACTTCGGTTTAAAACATAATTTTCTAAATAACTCCGGGTGGTCCATGAAAGCAGGGACTCCCCCTCCTCCTATTCGCCATGACTTAAGCAGCCCTCCACTGCCTGACTAGCACATGCTGGTGTCTTGTAAATCGCTCGCCCACTATTGTGTGTTTTATTGTAGCACCACGTAGTAGTTTTACTTGGTATTATTTGCGCTGCAACCCCAGGGCGGTTGGTAAAAGTCGAGTGTGCTGACTGCCACAAAGGAGTGTTGTACAGTGAGAGCAGGCAGTGTTGGAGGCGAACACAGGCCTGCTGGAGTCGTCCATTTGAGAAGGATCTGCCCGTCATTCTTTCTGCCTGCCCTGCGCTTCCGCCCTCCTCTTGCATGAGATGGACTCCCAAACGCGAGTGGAATGGGGAGGTTTGGGCCCCAAGTCACGAAAAAGCCGACTTTTCAGAGTTCTGACCCCCGCAGCCACACATTCCAATGATCACATGTGAGGAAGTGAACTGCAGATATTTTTCGCCATGTCTGCGTAGCAGACGAATGAGGGGAAATGCTCATTTTTGGCTCTGAGAGCGTGTATTTATACTAGTGACATGTGGCGTTTAATGGTCTTAAAACGTCTTCTGTTAGTTTAATTGGCGTGGTATTTTTTTATATAAATGTACGTAAGTGTGACTAAATGTTTATTGCGATTTTGTTTTAAAGATTTGCATTGATAAAATGCATTTTTACGCAAATAAACGAGCCACGTTTTCAAAAATTAAAAAACAATACTACTTAACGGGGTTTCAATAAATATTTAAAGGTTGCCAGACTGTGTTTTAAAAAAAATGACGTGCATTTTATTTTGCACCTGAACGCCACGTCAGTTTTCTAGTAGTTGGTGGACTCGCTCATTCGCAGCCTTCGTTAATCGTCCAGGTGATCTTAGTGGGGGATTTTTGTTTTTTATTTTTTATACATAGTTCCTTCACAAAATGGTGCTGATCAGCACGATGTGGTGACGTTGCTGTGTGTAAGCGGGTGTGCTGTGTTGGCCATGGCTGCAACAAGAGTCGAGTTTCAGCTTCATTTCCAAAAAAGCAAAATTGCCCTCCCATTGCACATGGAACACAGCACTTGTGAATGGCAACACACACGTAAAGAGGAATCCCTCTCTGCATTCCAGCCTGAAAATATCAGCTGGGTGTTTGGGCATTCGCCATGACTTAACCTTTGAACTCCCCCCGTGGAAAATGGCAGTTCTAAAAACAAGGGGACCAAAGTAAAATCCTCCAAAGACGAAGTGTGCTGATATACTCTAAATTGTGAATTATACATTTGGTGCCCAGTCTTTAAAGTTAAATCCCTGGTTTGTCTTAAAATCTGTTAAATTATTTAATAGGTGCTATTTGAACATATTTGGATGATTTTATGATCTATGGTAAAGACATTAAATTAATTCAAAATATCTTGTAGAAGTTTTGAAATTTTTTTTTTTAATCCTCTCACCCACGTCCTCCCTCGACTCTCCTTGTATTTTTAATTTGCATTCAAACATTTGTTTGTGTTTTCCTTTCAGTCTTCAAACCCTAAATATCATCCAAGTTCACTTTATGAACAGGATATTATTGCCATGGTGGCATTTAAATTTTAGCTTGGACAAACCCTGACTTTTGGTGTTTGTTTACTGCATGAAGTTGTTTTATTATTTTTTTAAAAGTAAATCTGCTAAAGCAATACTTGTTTAAAGTAGTAATGTTGACGTTGATATGTTAGGTTCCTGGTCCCAGGTTTCTGTAAACATGAGTCATAGTTGAGTTGAGTTTTAGCTTTCATTTTGAGTCCATGACACTGTTAGTAGACATGGCTTTTGACTATATACTATACTGGGTCAAAGGGTCACCGTGGGGCCTCGCAACGTAAATTAAAATTTAGCCTGAAGCTGAGGGGTGGCACAGGATTATGAACACAATCCCCTGTTTTTACTCTGAAAGTAGCAGTTTTACAGAAGCTGTTAAACCCAAATCTGTTTACTTTGTTTTGTATTGTAAAATGCATGCAAAAGTATTTGCATGTGTCAAGTCAGAAGTGCTTTAGTCTGCGTGAAAACAGGTATGACCCATTATATATATATATATATATATATTTTTTTTTTTTTTTAAACAAATCTTGAACTTGTCTGTTCAGGCTCAAATGTACTGAAGTGGTGTTTGGGTTACTGTGTGGAGCTAAGGAAGTGGAGGTCAGACCAGAGCTCAGCCACTCAGCCACTCTGCATGTTGACTCGTCATGGCTGCACATGAGCAGTAAACGCATCACATGTTGCTCACCCTCCATGGTCGTTCTGTGCTGCAGTTCTTCTGTCTTAGGGATGATTTAAAAATGGAGATGAATATAGGTGTGGTTAAGTGTCTTGGTACTACGCTTGGCACTCCCTGTTGTTTTCCGGGATGTGCATACGTGTCTCTATGGCCACTGAATGTGGACAAGGCAGACCACTGGGTCTCAGCCGGGCGTTGACGGAAGGGGGCGTGAATGTGCGCAGTGTTGGTCAATTTTTAAAAGTAAATAAGGAGCCTCCTCTTGGTCATCACATGATCAGCCAACACCAGCCACTCATGGCCATTCCTTCTGCTCCCCCTCCCACTTTTAACACCACTCTACATGTTCCTGTGTCAGTGGACTTGTCCGTGTCCATGGCAACAGGGCCCCACCCCCACGGGCCAGAGAAGGCCCTTGTTGCACTTCTCTGGAACGGGGGTAGCCATCCCCTGTTCCACACCCCGCTCATTCCTACTCCCCCAGCAGTGATTTTTCTTGCTGAGACCAGGGAATGGATACCACCACCAACCCCCACCCTGCACCATCCCATATCCTTTCTGACTACCTCTGTGTGTAGCTATAGGTTGATCTGGCTGGTAGTGCTTGCTAAATGTGCACATGCACATTTAGCATGGCGTTCCCACTGCAATGCAGAGCACACAGAATGTGCATGTAGAAGCGGATAAGCCAGAAATGGCTCACTGGACCGGAAAGGACTTGAATTCCTTTTAATAATGTTATTCAGGAAATTTCTTTACCATTTCGAATGGTGTCTCCAAATAAATATTTCGACCTGTTGATTGCAACGTTATGGTCACAGTGGCTACGTTGTGGAATTTCAGGCACCATATTCAGGCCCCTGTTGCACATTATACTATACATTAAACTGCCTACATGGGCTGGTAAGAAATTCAAAGAAATAATAATCTCATTGATTTTGAATTGACATTAAAAACAAGTTATGAATGGATCTTAATGTGTATTTTGTTTATTTAATTTTTTTTTTTTAAAGAAAAAAAAAAAATCTGTCAACTTGTCAATTTTCTGGGTTGTGTTAAAATATTATGTCCACACAAGCTCACATAATTTGGCTGCACATGTACAACATGTGTAGATCACGTTGTAAAGCTTGTGTGGAAATGGCTAGAGGTCAGGGTTTGGTTTCTCAGTGTGTGTGTTTGTGTGTGTTCTCCGGCCTCAGCTTCTAACCATATGTACATTTTTGTCTTCTGGAATTGTGCCTGTCAATAGACGATATATATATATTTTTTAATGAAAACAACCACAAACAGACAGACACTCCTGAAATTGTGACTCATTGATCCTCAAGTTCTGCTATCTGTGTATCCTCCACATGCAGCCATTGCTGCTGTGTGTAGAACTCTGTATTTTAATCCTAAATTTTCATGCATAGTTATTCATTTGTAGTTTTTGCACCGGTTGCTTCCGTAACAAATACATAGCAGCTCTGTGATGGACGTGTGTAGGGACTGCACACACCAGACATTTCTATTTTTTTTATGGTGAGTTGATGTAGAATTGTTCAAATTTGCCTTTTAATTTGCACACAAAATTATCTTCAAAGAAACTGATTGAATCCATAGGTCCAACTGCTCCTGTATTTAAACATGTATATATCTATTATTAAATGTTTGTTTATTCCTTGTCTTTAACCATAACTTGCACATGCTGTTACCAGAGAAACTAAGATTGTTGTTTGTGCACTTCAGGATCATTTGCTAAAAAACAATTGCTACTTCCACAAACGATGGTGTGTATCTCACTGGGAAAACAAGTCGTATTTTGTTTTTTTTAGTTTTATGGCCTTATGCTTATTCACATGCTCACGGTTGATGCTGAAATCAACAATCACAAGCAGGCCAAAAGCAGTCAGGTCGTTACCTACTGTGACACTCTGAAAACAATGGTCCCTTCCATCCTTGTTACCAGTATAAGGACAGTAGACCAAATAAATATCCAGTCAAGTTTTATTGTCCTGAAAGAAGCAGTTTAGGTGAACATGGTGAGTGGATATTTTGGGGTGAAGGAAAAAAAAAAGTACGACATTTCCCGCCTACATCTTCTTAGTAACAGCTGGATGCTCCTGGTCAAGTGTCTCCTGTGGTTTAAAACGAGTGGGCTTTAACCACGCAGTGGCTGAAATCTGGTGATACTGTTCCATGTGAATTGTACTGACAACAATTTGTGTATTTTACTTTATGCCCCAGTTTTTTTTTCTCACCCATATATTGGTAAAAATGTCCTGTTTCACCGGCCTGGTTTTCTCTCACTCACTGGTGTGTTTAATCTCTGGAACTCCTTTTGGTCTGGGGAAACTTGGTGTGATAGAATTTTTGTCTTTATTTGAAATTGAATTAACCTCATCAATTAGGACACGCAGAGGTCTAGATTATTCTTTCCCTCAAATTGTTTTTAATGTTTCACCCATGCTGTCCTCATGCACCTGCTGTTTAGAATGGGCTTAAAGTCATGTCAGATTCTCTGCTCTAGTCAATATTAAAGTTTGAACGATTTTTTTTTTCTTCAGAAAATGCATTTTCCTCATGTATAATTGTGATCAGTGTTTCTTGTAGCTAATGGTGTCTTCTCCATCCTTTCCCCCACTTTCCTCCCATCTTCCTTCATCACTGCCCCTCCTCCGTCCCCTCACCTTCATCTTACCCCCTTATTCTCTCCCTCTCCAGGAACTGTAAACTGCAGATCAGGAACATCCCTCCTCATATGCAGTGGGAGGTGAGTACTAACTGGCTGCTAACTGCTTAAAGGGTGGGGCACAAGAGCGTGCGCCAACTGGCCTCATTTGGTCGTGCGGAGTCACCTTGTCGCCCTTCAGGTTTCACTGAGAGCATGTGCTCTGTAATTTGATTAAAAATAGTTTATCTTGGAAATCGTAGACGCACAATTGATGGAGTGTGGTTCGTAGCGATGACTTGGCGAGGTGTAGTTGTCACCGCAGGTGGATGTTTAAGGTGAGAAGTCACAAAAGGGTTCCATTAAAAATGATGCTGAAGAGAAATAAATGGTGGAGGGCAGTGTGGTCATGGAGAAACAGGCGCTCAGCTGATTGCCTTTTGTTTTGTTTTCTGTCTCTTTGCAGTGTGTTATTGTCATTTTTTTGTTGTTGTTGTTGTTTCTCAGCCTCCTCAACCCTTAACAAAACATTAGTTGTGAAACATTAATTAAAGAAGAGGTTTGACCTAGCCCGTCTTAAGGATTCCTGATGATTAATGGGACAGGCCTTCCTATTTTTTTTCCTATGTAAGTCATTAGTACGGTTGTAGCTTACGTAGGGGGAAAAAACATTTGTGTATGTGGAAAAATCCAAAAATAATTTAATTCTTTGTTTTTTTTTTGTTTGTCAATTCTTCATCTTTAAACCTGTATCCTGAAACCATTTCCACAGAATGTGGATTATCATTTTTGAGGGAGTAAATATGTCAGAACATCAATGTGTAAGATGCTGAGAAAAGACAATTGCTAAGAGAATCACAGTGAATGTTTTCAGGAGTTGTTTTCTCACTACACTGATCATCGGTGTATTTTTGACCTAACGCATTTACATTGACTGCGAGCTGGTTTTGAAGTGAACGTTGATTGTTTCTGTTAATTATTGCATAGACAAAAAAAATAGTCCTGTGTTATTTGAATAACACAAGTCATTGAACTTCAGAATGTTCAGAAAATACTTTGAATGTTTGTACCATTTGTTTCGTAACTTTTATTGCAATTCCCTGCAAAGTTTGAAGAGGTCAAGGAATTCCGTGCCTTCAGTTTTGTGCAAATTTTGGACATTAAATATGAAACTTTGTCCAATTTGTGCTGCAGTGTTTTCACCTGGCAGAATGGTGTTGATTGTCGTTGTGTTAATGAATGCTGTGGCTGTAAATGAATACATTTTAGCAATGTAATTATTATTTTAATTAAACCAGTATTTCTCAGAAATATTTAGTTGGACAATGAAAAACATGTTTGCAATATAATAAACACAAACATTGTGGGAAAAAAATGTGTAAATGATTAAAGCTGCAACAGTTGGCCAATAAACCAATGACTAATTAGTGTAACTTTAAACAAAACAATTTCTGTTTGAAAAACTATAAATTGTCCCATGATTTCTGCTTTGTGCACAAAACAAACGGGCTGTTATTTCAGGTTTGCATTTTCTCCTGCCTTTTTTTTTGTATTTTATGGACCATATGATAAACTAAAATAATTGTCCAATTAATTTTTAAGTCCTAATAATTAGACCGTGGTCTGCTGTAACGTGTTAAATTGTGCGCGCTGATGATTAATGGTTGAAACTGCTCTCTGCTGCATGTCATGGTAGAATTCAACTGTGGCATTAACACAGAGCTAAAGCAATAAAAAAAGGGGACGGTGGAGATCAGGGTGAGATCTCAGATGCTGTCCCCCACGGTTTGTCTTCTATCCAGGGTTAGGAGGCAAAAAGCTGTCACGTAAGGAGGACTAAAATCAAAAGAAACAGTGAGCTGTAACGTGCGGATTTCAAGGCCACTGCCTGATTAGTGAAAACTGTTAAGCAACTGTTTGTGTGTTTGTGTAGTACGTGTTTTTCATCCTTTCCCAGTCTGTGAAAAACCTCCTGTGTTGTCCGACTACACACTAATGTGCTCGACACATGTGAATTGTTTCTGCTCAGATGTCTAAAATGTAATTCCGAATAATTTTTTTAGACACTCTTATGTCAGTAAACGTCTTCATGTCACCCTCCCTTCCCCTTCTGTCTCTCTTCCTGTCTAATTTTCTGCTCCATAAAGAATAAGGAAGCCTAACAAAGATTCTCCTGGTACACTGCACGCATTGTTCTGTGTTCTAAATTGTTAGGTTTAGTACATGACTTCAGATTTCAGCTTGCTGTGATGAAATGGTTAGACGGGCTCAGTGTTTTTGTAATGGTGGTCTCGCTTTGTCTACGCATGTCCCTCCGCTGCAGCTCCAGATCCACCCATGTTCCTCATATGTACGGACATAGTGAGCCGCTTGCCTGCTCAGAAGGTGACATGGAGGTTTCTCCTCCTCGGAGGCGGTTAGAATAGTGCTGGAAAAGAATAGGATCTTCTGATGCGAAGGCCTTGTATGTTATCAGGTTGATAAGACAGGGACTGTGGCTGTGAGAGACGAACACACAGCTAGAGTAACAGTGCTTGCGAGTGTTGACGTGTTCGCAAGCTGTAGTGGGTGGGTGGGCTTACACCGTTTCCCCTTCCCCTCCATGTGCTCTGATTCACAGAATGTGTAGCATGAACTCGTACCCCTCCCCCAGTCACTGCTTCCTGCTGGAATGCACCCCACCCTTTCCTGAATGGCCTGGATTCCCATTGGCCAGACCCGGCAGATGGACAGGCTGAGCGGCCAACAGCTCTTAGCTTCAGGGATCTCGTAGTGTTGTGGGAATCAGCCAATGGCGGGGAGAGAAGATGACAGGGAGGCGGGAGGTTGCTTGGTTGGTGGAGTGGGGGGGGCAGGGACGTAGTCTTGTTGGCTAGAAAGTGGGGTTGAGCTCTTGGGGGTGTGGCCTTAGGTTTGACTAAGCATGGTCACAGAGGTCTTAGCTTAGCTTCGAGATTCCCCGCTCCCTCACTTGCCTACATTTTTTTTTTTTTTTTTTTTTTTAATCACATCAATGAATTTAAATCATGTGGTTTCTTGTCCTGGCAGAAGACCAGCTAAGTCTGCTTTTGTCTTCAGTGTAGTTTGCAGTATTGGACAATTTAACCTTTTTTCTATATGTTGTATTTTAAACCTTTTATGCATATTTTATCAAATAAGTCGGAACAACATTTAATTGTGTCCTTCCAACAGAAATGGTCACTAATCTTATTTAAAAAAAGACATTTTTGACATTTTTGTGTTAAATTAAATTCAGCACACTTCAAAAGAGACAGGCATTTAACAAGAAGAGAGCAGAACATAAAGCATGTAGTTAAAAATGTGTCCTGGCAGTGAGCTGGACACCAGTTCCCACAGATGAGCTTCTGCTCATTCTCAGGTCCTGGTCTTATCTTTCAAGTTAAATTCCCTCGTATTTATGATGACCGTTCTTGTTCTCCCTTCCAGGTTTTGGACAGTACGCTTGCTCAGTACGGATCAGTAGAGAGCTGTGAACAAGGTAAATACTATGCCCATGTGATGCTTTTGCGTCTGTTAAATCCCACCTCATTACTCCTAGTACCGACCTAATGGGCTACAGAAATATTGTTCCGCGTCTTATTGCAGTTGCACAATTTGTCTTTATCTGCTTTATTATTAGCTCAGGAGCCACTTTCATTAGTTTATTTGACACTTTCACATGAAAGAGACTCCCTGCTGTAAATGTAATTCACTGTGAATGTGGTTGACTCCTCTCTCTGTGCTTTCACAGTCAACACTGACACAGAGACCGCAGTCGTCAATGTCCGATATTCAACCAAGGATCAGGCCAGACTGTGAGTATACACGTGTCCCTGACCGGTTCAGTGTTTTAATAAGGATCTGCTGAAGCATTCTTCTTGAATGTGTTGTCCATGCAGTGCACCAGATTTCTTCCTACCATAAAAGCAGTCCATTTTAATTTGTCATGCATGATGGCTGTGTGTGTATTGAAGAGGGACGGAGTAAATAGCTTTTTGGTGCCCCTGGTGTACGGGAATCACACCAGTGTTTGTGATTGAGCACCAGTGCTCGTAGTCTGTGAACAGGACCAGTTCATTTCAAATCACAAAGTTTTTTTTTTTTTTTTTAAAGTTTGACCTTTGCTTGTGATTATCCTTTGTGTAACTCTTGATTCTGATTGGTTACTTGAAAAACCACTTCCTTGGTGTTTGAATAGCAATTCTGTAATAATACCAGTGTGTTTGTTTTTTCAATGCTCAGCTCTAAGTATGTTCTATGGTTTTCTAGGGCAATTGAAAAGCTAAATGGAACTATGATGGAGAAGTACGCCTTGAAAGTGTCCTATATCCCAGATGAAAAGGCCGGACCAGAGGGTCCTCCGGGGGTGGGCAGGAGAGGCTTCAACGCACGGGGACCTCCTCGTTCTAGCTCTCCGTGTCTTGGTGCCCGACCTAAAGTGCAGTCTGACGTCCCTCTGCGCATTCTAGTCCCAACACAGTTTGTCGGTGCTATCATTGGCAAGGAGGGCGCCACCATCCGCAACATCACTAAACAAACGCATTCAAAGTAGGTGGTCATCGCCCGGCAGAAAGGTGGATCCAAATTCTTTAATTGCAGTGACGCATTAACCTTCAGTCATGTTTTTTTTTCTGGTTTGTAGGATTGACATACACAGGAAGGAGAACGCCGGTGCAGCTGAGAAGCCCATCACCATTCACTCCACCCCAGAGGGATGCACCAGCGCCTGTAGAACCATCATGGAAATCATGCAGAAGGAAGCCATCGATACAAAGTTGTACGTCGTTTTGTAGTTGTTGTAGACAGTGTAGTGTGAATGTGAAGTACATGGCGTTGGGCTGCTTCAAAAGTCTTGAATGTTACTTCTAGAGGTTAAAATTATGTTAATCATACAGTATATAGTTACTGTTAATTTCAACTGCCCTATTAAATACTGATGTATGACAATTGTCTTTAGATGAATTTATGATGACGGCAAGTGTTGTTTGAATGTCGCGCTGCTGTTCTGCCTTACAGTACTGAGGAGATGCCACTGAAGGTCCTTGCACACAACAACTTTGTCGGAAGACTAATTGGAAAGGAAGGGCGCAACCTCAAGAAGATCGAGCAGGACACTGGGACCAAGATCACAATCTCACCGTGAGCCCATTTGGACAATTGTTCACTATTGTCCCATTATCAGTATTTCATACGCTTTTATGGTGTAGTGACATTTGTGGCGGGCAGTTCACACTCTGATATATCATCATAAACCATCAATCTGTGCAGATATCATGACCTGACCGTGTATAACCAAGAGCGGACCATCACAGTGAAAGGCAACCTGGAAGCGTGCACCAAAGCTCAGGAGGAGATGATGATTAAGATCAGGGAGGCGTACGACAGCGACATGGCTGCTATGAATGTAAGCTCTTATTTTGAATTCCAACAGATGTTTGCCCAACCTTTTTTGTTGTTGTTTTTTATTCCCTTCACCACTGGTGAATTTAACAGAATATATAAAAATGCGTTTTTTTTCCAGAATGACTTGATATTATTCACTGTACTGCCAAACAAGCAGACCGACTAATGTTGTCGTCTTTTCCCTCTAGCTTCAGTCCAACCTGATTCCTGGTTTAAATCTAAATGCTTTGGGTCTCTTCCCAACTGGAACACCAGGCATGAGTCCCTCTGTGTCAAGCGTCCCCTCTTCAGGAGCCCAGGGTGGATGTTCATTTGGAGTAAGTCTTGTCCAAACAGGCTGAAATTCCTTTTTTTTTTAAAAAAAAACTTCACTGTATGGCATCGTGGTTCAGGACACTTTCAGCTACAACTGTCCTGACAACACAAGCTGACGGGTTCAGCTCAATGTTTCTTTTTGTGTTTGTAGAGCAGTCCTTATGGGGGCGAGGGGGCATTTTGGGCTTCTATGCCGCCGGCGAGCAGCCAGCCCCTCGCTGTAAGTCACCCGTCCCAAAATGTGCTTTGCACGGCTTGTGGCTGCTCGCTGCGGGATAAGGGACCAGGGCTTTCCTACAACTAAAGTCTCTGCCTGTTACCCACTGATCTTTAACATGAAAGCCCAGGATGTGAGTCTAACATGCTGAATGGAAACAAGTGCTGGAGAATGACAGCTCGACCAGGGGCCCCCTTTTTTTTAAAAAAACAAAACAAAAACCGTTTTACAATATAAAATGTTGCTTGTTCAGGGGAAGATGCATGTGTTTTAAAGAGCGAGTGAAGCATCATTGGTGCTGAAAGCTTTTTCTCCATCGTTTTGAAGCAGCCAAAACCCATTGGTGTGCGTGCTCTTCACTGATACTTTGATTGGATATTGGATGATGTCCAAAATCTATTTCACATCCGTCTCCAAAACCACAGATGTGCTGTAGCTTTTCTTGAAACAAGACAGTGTAAAACACTAGTCTGTTGTCAGACCACCGTGTAACGGATGGAAATTTAAAAAATGTAAAAAAAAAAAAAACCCTGCTTTTTTTATGTGTCTGGAACATGATGACCCTTCAGAAATGAGTAACATCTGAATGCATATTCCAGCAGGGGGCAGGAGCATCAGCATTTTCTAATCGCCAACTTTAGTCCTTTGCGATCTTACAGGAGTTCATAAGTGTTTGTGCTCAGCAGGGACATCCAGAGTCTGAGACGGTTCACCTGTTCATCCCTGCCCTTGCTGTCGGAGCCATTATCGGAAAACAGGGTCAACACATCAAACAGCTGTCCCACTTTGCTGGAGCCTCGATAAAGGTTGGTGACAGACGAGAACCAAAAATGTTCGGATTGCAAATGATAACAAGCAGTTGATGGCTTTCGTCTTATTCTTTTCGTCCCTCTTAGATTGCCCCTGCAGAAGGAATGGACTCCAAATTAAGAATGGTCATCATCAATGGACCTCCAGAAGCTCAATTTAAGGTATTGTCGCAACTGATTACAATAAATTCTAAATACACAAATAACACATCATGCTACAGTAGAATTAGTGTCAGGTGTAAGTTTTTTTCTTCTGCACCTGAGATTCAGAATCAGGTTAAATCTGAAGTCTGCACTTCTTCAACATCTGCAGGCTCAGTGTCGCATCTTTAGCAAACTGAAGGAAGAGAATTTCTTTGGACCTAGGGAAGAGGTGAAGCTGGAGGCTCACATCAAGGTTCCCTCCTGTGCTGCTGGACGCGTTATCGGGAAAGGCGGAAAAACTGTAAGCAGGTGTACTCATCCGGCTATCGCCGATTTGGCTCAACATTGGTTTTATGCTTTGTTCCATGTTCTCACGTTCTCGCTCTGGACTCTGGCTGCAGGTGACTGATCTTCAGAACATGTCTTGTGCAGACGTAGTAGTGCCCAGGGACCAGACGCCTGACGAGAACGACGATGTTGTCGTCAAGATTAACGGTCATTTTTTTGCGTGCCAGGTGAGCATTGTCTGGACAAAAACCAAGGTGTGGTTGATATATACTGAATGTAGGTTTTGATGGATTTGGTGGTTGGTGGATGGTTTGATGTAAGTATGTGATGATGGACATGGGTGCAACAAAATCAAGCTAATTCTTTCTCTTTTTAAGCATTGTTTCTGTGTTTGAATTTTTAAATTCAAGGAGACTCTGATCTGAATACATTCCCTCTGTTGTGCAGCTGGCTCAGAGAAGGATCCAGGAAATTCTCTCCCATGTGAAGAGGCAGCAGCAGCAGCAGACCAAGCCCACACCATAACCCCAGCCCCCAGTACCCCGCAGGAAGTAAAGATCCAGCGGACCAGGAGGGATGGTGACTCGATCTGCCAGAAGACCCTACAGAGGGACAGATGCCGTAGAGTCCAGGGGGGGAGAGAAGACGAGGGGTTGAAATGATCATCTCAGGGGTCAGAGGTTACCACCAGGCACCCAGCCTCTCTTTGTCTTTCTTGAACTCTGCAGGGTGGCTACAGCAGAGACATTTGACCTCTAAAAACTCTAGCCAGCCCACTTCTCTGCATCTCTGCGGTGGGGAAGAAGGACTTTAGAGGGCTCCCACCAATGTCACCTGTCCTCGCACCCCGTGACCGTTCTTCTCCTCCACTCTTGGGTGTTTAAAATGTTTTTGGGTTGTTTTTTTACATTAGAAATGCCTAGAAGAAATAAGGAGCGCCCTCCCATCACCCCCTCTGGTGTGGTACTTCAAACCTGATGTTTTTTGGTTGACTTCACATTTAGTTGACACTTGATTTTCCTTCTTTTCTTTTTGTTTCCCCTTGTTGATGATGTTTGATTGGTTGATGAAGCTTTCTCATGAGTTTTGTTTTTTCTGTGGAAAGGAAAAGGCATTTCTATCAAGGTCCCCGTTGGACAAGCAGAGAGGTTTATTTTGGGGGAGATTTGGCTCAGATGGGTTGGGCCATGGTTGGGGTGAAGATTCTTGTTTCAGGATAAAGACCCTTGAAGGGGTGAATTATACTGGGCTCTCTGCCCTCGTAATGATAGTGGCATTTTATAAAATTGGATGCATTTTATAGATAGACCTATATAGATAGATAGATGAAAATATATATACGAATATATATATATGTGTGTATATATATATATATATTTAGAGTTCAGGGCAGCACCACGACTGGCACTTAGGGAAACGGTGCCGAGCTGCTGCTGCCCCGGAAAATCAATTTAAATATGCATTTTACGTAACTACCTCAGGATCTCGTACCTCAGAAGAGAAGAAAAATGATTATATATATATATGAAAATGTTTCTTTTCTTTTTTTTTATTTTGCTTTTGTGGTATTTTGTATACTTTATAAAGCTGATAGTCTTTGAACATTTTTATTTTTTTAAGAAAATTTAAAATGTGGTCAGCTGCCAACTGACCTTGCTTTCAACTCTGGTGCTTCAGGTGGCATTGTACATGTGTGTGTGACTGAAAAGATTGACCCTGTACATAAAGTCTATTTGTACATGGCGGCGCCAGAGCGAGAGTTGGCACCCCCTCAGCTGGCGGCTGACAGGAGTTACCAGAGAATATGGCCTCAGTTTTCTCCCCTGGGGGGTCCACCATCTTCTGAAAAAAAAAAAAAAAAAAAAAAAAAAAAAAAAAAAAACTAAGACACGATGCTAACCATAAATAATAGCAGCAATGCCTTTTTAGTTTTGAGGTTGACATGGTTATCGTCGATGGTACTTTAGTTTGTGTAAATTTCCTTTTCTCTACCAGGCTCATGGACGTGGACTGATGGTCCTCTGTAGTGGCTCCAGAAACTGCAGTGTCCACCTGTTGTCACCACATTTTTGACTAATGTCTTAAGTAAATAAGGTCCAAGCCTGACTTTAGGTTTAATTTCATAGAGCAGGCTTCATCATTTCAAAATGACACTGGTCATTAACTTAGTATTAACATCACTCACTGCATGGTCAGGGCCGAGGGGAGTCGCACTGATACATCCTTAGTTATTTTTTTTTTCTCCTATTTTATGCTTTAGCATAATGATTTGAATAAAAATTGACATTTTTCTGTAGCCCAAAAAAATGCAACGTGATGCTTCAATTTATTAGTGCAGGGAAAATAGGCCAGAAATAGGCACCAAACTGACTGAACCCAGACTTAAGGCTGAGAATTAAGGAGATAAATCAAATGCACCTACAGCTGACTTCATTTGTCTCTGCAGTGCTGAATGTAAATATATTGATTGTGGTAAAAGTGCTTGAGTGTATCCATGCTTCCACAGTAGAACGCCGTCTACCTCAGCTGAGGGGGTCTTTGGCGAAGGGGAAGGGGTTTCGTTGCAGCCCCAGTTGCCGCCCTCTCCCTTCCTTGCCCCCACTGAGCGCCAGCGCGCACCGTTACCTCAGTCCCCTGAACACTTCTGTTGACATGGGCGCGCCATACTACCACCAGGCTTAACTGAGGGGCACAAGTGATACTTAAAACCATCCCTGACTCCTCCGGCTTTCTAACTGCCAAACCACCCCCCCTGCCCTCTTGCCCCTCATCCTCCTCGTCCACACTTTGTTTTGATCTACCTCTTTAGACACATATTTGAAGCAGAGGCATTCTTCTATTTGTTCGCCTTTAGTCCGCCTCCAGCCTTTCTCTTTTACGCCTCTTCATGTGTCCCCTACAAATGAATGGAAACTTAAACTGACCCCGTGTTATTCTCTAGATTTGGAAATGATAGAAAGTGATCAAATTTCCTTTTGTGCAAGTGTTTATATATACTCTCTTTTTGGCTTAATTCTGCTTTCTGTTTTTGGTGGAGTGGCTTACATGTATTTGGACTTTTGCTTGGGTTTTTTTGTGGAAAAAAGGTCAAATCATGTTTGATTTTGCATTCAATAGTTAAAATGAAAAAAAAAAAAACATTTCTTTTCGAAGACCTACCTTTTTGTTTCTGATTTGTGAGACTTCAAAAAAACAAAAAACAAGTCCTGTCTTTTTTTTGTCTTTTTTTTTTTTTCCATTTCCTCTTGACTTTCACAGTAGCTACACTGATGCGCTGATTTGGTAGCCGTTTTCTTCTGTTAGCATTTCTTGGCTGTGTAATTTGTAACATCCTCTTGGTATGGGATGATTTGGGGGGGACTGGGTCCTGGAGTTTTTTTGGAAACTGAAACTAATTGCAGCATGATTTTTCCCTCCTCCCCTCTGCAACCCATGCTTGTGCCCCTTCACCTTCCCTCACACACAGCTCCACTTGTCAAATGCCTCTGAATAAAAAAAAAAAAAAAAAAATTAATTGTGCTCATTTTTTTTAAAAATATTAAGAGACTGCTTGTTAAATCTCAATGGAAGGCAAGCATTTAGCATCCAGCCCTGTTATTGAAGCTGTGGAGACTGTCATCAGAAACCTTCAGTGTGCCATAGACCTTGTCCTTGTTTTTACTGAACTTACTTTTGTTTTAGAGTCGTTTACTAGTGAAACCTGGGCCTGTTTAGTTGAACACAACCCTAATATACCCACAGGAGTGGAAGACAGACTCGCAAAATGATCCTCAAAAGCTGGGTTTTTGGTGGGTTGTTCATAAGTACTTTTTAAAGTCCTTTGCTGCCACCTAGTGTAAGAACAGTTTTGTTCAGCCTGCCACTGTCCCGCAATCTAATTTAGACAAACTATTAGCAATTATTCTTTTTCAGAACAATCACTGATATGTATTCATCAGTCTAATGTAGAGGTTCACCTTCTATTTTTTGTTTTTAAGAAGTTGTTTATGGCTTTAAGCTTTCCATTCAGACCAATATGTTTTAAACTGAAGCTGCAGTAACGGGAGGAGAGACAATGGATGTATTTGTGATTCCGAAAATGATTCCATTTTAAATTGTGATAGTTGGATAGACATGTGAGATTTTATGGTAAAACAGAAAAATGCACATTGCTGATTGGGCACCTCCAACTGTGCAAGAACATATGCACCCAAAATCTATAATAGTGGTCAACAGGAAGTGTGCGTGCTGGACACTATAACTGATCTGAGATAAGTTTCGTTTCAATGACTTTCTACCACTTAGGTCAGTGAGGCAGTGGAAAAATACTTTGTTGTATCAGTCACACCAAAACGGAAAGACAAGTAGCAACATCCCTGAGAGTGGGTGTAAAGTTCATGTGACGCTGCTGCACCACAAATGATGGCCTCTGTTTTAATTTGTTGTGATGTACCTCAAGAGGTTCAAAGTGAAGCTCCATGATGGCCTCCAGGTGAGGACGCTGTGTCCCTTCTGTATGAGGTCTGAGTGTGTGACATATTAAATGGTCCACTGTGTAAGGTGGACATGTGAAGTGATGAATAAACATAATTAAATCAGGTACAAACAGGGACCACGGCACTTTTGGTTAGTTCACATTCTTTATTTGAGTAATCATGGCAAGGTTTCATAGAATTACATGTCTGCGCTTCTGAGTTAATATGTTTTTAAACATTTTAACTAAGTCAACTAAGAATAACTGGTATATGTTTATAAGAAAGCAGACAGCATGCAATAAGACATTGTCCCGAGACATGATGGGACATTTGTATGTGCTGGTTACGACTGGTTCTGCATGGACACCTGCCGAATTTCAGTGACTCATTCTTCAGATAAAGCCTAACATCCATCCATGTGTGACCGCTTTACAAATAGTGTTTTACATATTGCAATTTTATTTAAAAAGACAAAGTGTGTATGAGGCTAAAATCACAAACACAACACCAAATGACTCCAAAAGGACTAGTCTCCTCACTAGTTACTGTATGTTTTATGTGCCGTGGCCGTGTGAACACTGCTGGAGGATTAATCCTACTGGTAACAGAGCACTTCTGGACTATAAGTTGCACTTTTTTTCATCCTTTGGCTGGGTTTGACTTGTATATTAAAATATATAATTTCAAACATTATAAATGTTTATTATTTTCACACTTACAGCCGCTAGAGGGCACTCTAGGCTTGTGTACCAGTATCTGCTACTCCTGTACCATTTGAAACTCTTATATATGTTTTGTTTTTTCATTAGGCATTGTTTGGCTGGTGCGACTGATACTCCGGGGTGATTTATAGTCCAGAAAATACAATACGTGTATAGTATTCAGTACTTTTTGGTGATTGGAAAAAATGTTTAATTTTCTGAATAGTTGAACATTTAGTCAATAGTTTTACCATTCTTGGCAGACTACTTTAAGTGCAGCTCCGTGTGGTCTAAATAAGCAGGCGACGACCCTCCTCATTAGACGGGAACAGTGCCTCTCTCAGGCGAACCACGCGGTCTCCAACATGGCTGCAGGCGTCCTCCACCAGTGAGCTGCGAATGGGCCGGTACACCTTATAACGCCTGGTGCAGATGGACACAAGAGCAATTGACTGACCGACTGTAAGGACACCAGGAGGTACATGTAGTCGTCGTGGGTCACACTACTCACTTGTAGACCAGATAAGCAATGAAGGCAAAGACGGCCACCAGCACAGCACTGGACGACAGAACCACCTCTGCGCTGTGAGAAGTCCTGGCTCCTGCAGGGTGAGACCATACCAGACAAAGACACTTGAAAAGGTTTCATAAATAAGCAGAAAGATCACGTTTATGTTTCAACTTACCAGGTGCATCCTGGGACTTGTTGATGGTGACGGTCGTGCTGGCCAGGGCCAGGCTGCTGGAGTCCTCCAGGGTGATGTTGACGCAGTATGTTCCCGGTTCTAAAAAGGTTCTCCTCAGGTGAACCTCACACTCTGACGACGGCGGCACGTCGTCGCACATGATGTTACGCACCTGAGTGCAGGTGGGATCTGAGACGATGGTGCAGGCTGAGGTAGGGATGCTGAGAACACAGGTAGTTTAGATTATTTACATATTTACACATATAAGTTGAACATTAGTTTATATATTCAGTATATGTCAGGGGAACACAAAAACACTAATTACACTACCAACACAATCCCAAACTACCCCTCCTGCAGGACAGTGTACTTATCCTGACTCAAGTACATCTTCTCACCCCTTTATTTTTTTAAGTTAAGTAAGTAAAAAAATATTTATGAACAACATGACTAATAACATCTATTTTCAGTTAATATTGCAGTGAAGTGATCACAGCTGTAAAATAAATAAATAAATACAGTCTTTGTTTGAACTATTTCTAGAAAGAAAAACATGAATGAATGAACTGACCTGCCCAGACATTTGACCAGAAAGCTGACGTCAGTTTTGGTCACTCTGGCTGCCAACACATCAACGATGCGACTGTTTGGTTGACTGTTCAGTTTTGGCTTTGGCTCTAAGGAAAACCAAATGACAAGTGGGTGAAGATGACTTTCTGTGTGAACATTTATGAAGAAGTGATTGATCGGTGATGAAGTCTGACTTAATAAATATAAAGTAGTGAGTACTACAACCACCCTGTCCAGTACACGGACCCTACTGAGTCTGCGGCCGTCTCACACCTACATACGTACCAATGATGCTAATGTTCCCAGTGAACGTTCCATACACATAGTGGAAACACGGTGCGTTGCCGAGTTGGTTGGAGTGAAGCCAGGGCATCGTGGTGGAGTCATAGTCCGGGGTAACAGGGTCAGGAGTCGGGGGGAGGAGTTCTGTTGTGGGCAAATTCTTTGAGGCAGTGGAGAAGCTGGGTGGTGCTGAAACAGGAGAGAAGTGATGAGGTCTGCTATCAGTCGAAACAACTACGTATGTACTGTACTGTATGTAACGCAATACCTTTATTTAGGTACACATAAGCTAACATTAGCATGCGGTCAGTTGTGACACCTCACCCTGTGTGGTCTCCATCTTCATTGTAAGAGTATGGGTCCTGGGTGGAGGTGTGGGAGCCGCTGGGTGAAAACACAGATGAACTAATATTACCATTAAAATGTATTTCTCTTTTACAACATATACAAAATGTTTTACAGCAGGTGTAGAAATTAATTAGTATATCTGAAGGAGAAACACGGGTTTTTCCTAATTCACAGTGTACTGCATAGGACGTAAATAGACAAGGCTCAAAATATCAATACAAGTACTATGCAACATGAGTCTGGCACCTATGAGACGCAACTCTGCAGGTTTCACACAAACTCTTCTTATTGCATGAAGAAATATAACTGAAATAATGCTCAGTGATGTCATGAAGGAGTAGTTTACGTTTGTGCAAGAATTTGAAAGTCATTTTTTGAAAAAGAGGTTTAGTCAGTCGGCCTCCTCGGGTTTACTGCTTTCACAAATGACAAGGACAAGTTGTTTTCTGTTGAACTAAAAGTCCTCATCTGTTTCAGACGACATGACTAGAAGTCCTTGAACACTGGAGTACGCTTCCAAAACAGCTGCATTCCTTCTCCAGACGCCGTGAAGGTGAGATAGTGAAGTATAAATTAAAAACAAAAACTAAAATTTAATTCTACTCCTCTAGTAATTTTGTGAACAGAATCTTGTTACTGTCAGTCACCTGTAGGAGGTGGTGTGGTGCCACTCCTCGGGGTCGTTGTTGCAGCAGCTGGTGGACACTCTGCAGGGAACACTGCCTCCACCACCAGCTTCACACTCATTTTGCCGAGTGTGCTGTAGGCGTGCGTGGTCACGTTGCGGTTCGTTACCAGCTGGTTCCCGTCTTGGAAGTCCCAGATGTAGTCCACAGACTGAGCACTTTTCAGATAACCACTGGGATCATGGAGCTGGACCTTGAAGACGACGTCCTCACCACGAAAGAACACATTCTCCGACTGGTTGACGGCAGCTTTTTGGAAGATGCTGACCGCCACTGGGATCTTATCTGAGGCAGTGGAAGATTTAATAAAAGTAAATAATTTAATTATTATTATTCTCTCTCCTTCTCTTTCTACTGTATTTTCCAAACTATAAGTCACACTTTTTTCCATCCTTTGGCTGCGACTGATATATATAATTTTACATGTTTGTTTATGTATATATATTCACACTGACAGCCGATAGAGGGCGCTCTAGGTTTGTGTATCGATATCTGCCACGACTGTACCACTGAGAATGTACATGTTCGTTATTTTCACACTGACAGCCGCTAGAGGGCACTGGTGCGACTTATACGGAAAATACGGTACTTAGATATTTGTCACCAAATGTATGTAGTACTCTTGTCTCCACCTGTGACGTAGAAGACAGTGTTGTCAGTGGTGAGAGGGCTGTACTTCCTGCGCTCACGTTTCCTATAAACCATGACCTCCATGACTTCTGCCCCCAGTGGGACTTTGGTGGTATTGATGGTGACGCTGGAGGAGGAGCCGTCACATGTCTCATAGTACTGGCCTTAAATCCAAATACAAAAAGTAAAAGTAATGAATCGGAGCTCTTGGTTTCCTGTGAGTGTCGGTGTCTCAGCTCTCACCCATGGTGTGCCACACGTAGACGTAGCTCTTGTGTCTCCAGTCGTTGCTCTGAGGGAAGGGCTTCCCATCGGGGAACACGTTACATTTGTTTGCGTCTGGGCACTTTCCAAAGCCGTAATCATCCAACCAAGAAGTCCAGTTGTAGACGTAACCGTAACGAAGCTGTCCGTTAGCTGTAGATCACACGTAAGAAAACCCAGCTGAAAATACTTTTAAGAAAGGATTTGAGTTCAAACATTATTTTAATTCAATTAAATCTCAGTTTTGACGACAAAAAGTATTAGGATAAGATGAGATAGACAACACGTGGATGGACCGGACTGATTCATGCTAAATATGGTTCCAGTGTAATTTAATAGAAGGCAGAAAACGTGTTTTGAATTCTCCTGAAAACAAGATTTTGAAGGGAGTTCAGTTGAAGCCACTCCCATGTTAGGAAGTGAACTAGTCGTTAACATGCTTGTGAAAATTAAGGATGGATGGATGGACAGAAGAAAGAAGTGACTTCATTTTCAATAATTTTTGTCAAAATGGTGGTTTTTAGGTTCTACCCTACAACAACAATCATATAAGACTTTTGTTGTATTTTTGTGTGTTTTGTAGGTCTGAACAGGACGAGAAGTGTTTGGTGGAACGCGGCCTGGTCTGGCGTTTTGGCAGCACCTGAGGCCTCCAGCTCCGTACCATCGTCACAGTGATCGTCCCAAACAAGATCTCCGTTGGCGTCCTCCTTCTGACAGGGAGGATACTCCAGCTTGGCGGTGAAGGTGATGCAGGAGCCATTCAGTGCCGGGCTGTCACTGGTCAGGCGGACCTTAGGTTTACCTGGAGAGAATTACACACTCCGTGTAAACGGATGGACGAGAAGATGTCAATGTGGCAGAGCGAAGTTTGACGTCGCCTCACCTCCTCGGTGCAGGAGTCCTTTTGGTTTGGGGTTGAGTGGTGGGTAGAGGTAGTCATCCCAGGGGTTGGTGTCTGGATCCCAGCCAGGGATCGGAGGGATGGGGTAAGGAAACTTCTTGTCTATGGCATGTTTATGAGGAAACATTTCACCAACGGCTGTGGAGAGATCCAAAACTTTTAGACGACGCCCAAGTGTTCCATGAAGTTAGTTAGTTTTTACACGTGGGTGAACATTCATTAATCCTGAATGGACTCTAACTAGTACGGCAGCCTGGGCCTACTGGCTGAAGGATCACAGGATTACAGTTGGAATCCCGGCCTCAGCAGGACTGTGGCGTGTTGAGCGAGCACCAAAGTATTTCCTACGTGTTTAATTTGGTAAAATGTCGAGAGAGAGAAAATAATCACAATCAAAAATCCGTTGAAAGACTGAAGGGATGTTCGACTATAAGGCTATAATGAGGAACCACAGGTTGAGAATCAAGCTAATTTATCACAGCACATATGTGGCCTTGAACTCCCTGCCCACTGAACCACAGCCACACCCATTTAATATTCATCACCAAATGTCAACAATTCTCTAAATCACCTACAAGAGGCACAGAAACCAAAGACATGTAATTAATTAGATTTGTGGAGATAATTAAATCATGTCGAGACAAAAAAATAGTTCCATGAACCGTGAAAGAATTCAGATCATCAGAAGTGGACACTGCTTTTAATTTAACATTTTAAATGGTAAATATTTCACATGTGTTTTGTTAAGGAATGTAAGACTGTGTAGCATCAGCCAATCAGAGCATAGGCTTTAATTAGCGTCATGGGACTCTGACTGGGAAGGAAAGTTGTCAAGTGAAAATTAAAATCTAAAATACACGCTTATATTTGATTTAATTTATAATATTTTATCCAAATTAAAATAATCCAGCCACTCCATTCAAGTTCAAGTTTCTGTCACATGTTTGATGTGAAATTGTCTGCGTCCAACTTCAGCAGCTCAGTTGAATCAACAGTACTTACTCGTGCGTCCTTCCACTTGGTCACTGCCTAAGAAGACCCAGGCCAAAAGGAGGACGAATGGCGTAGCTTCCATTTCCACTTCTCACCAGGAGTTAAAAAACAACAAAAACTTTTTCCCGGAATAGAAATCTTAAAAAACAAACGAACAAACGTCTGTGCAGTGGCAGCAGCTCTGAAACGACTTGTCTCCGTCCCTGCTTGTCCAGCTCTCCCAGTGTGGACGACGTCCTCTGTCCTGATTCCTGATCATCACTAATTTAATCTGAGGCCTGAGCCACAGACATGTGATGTTTCCTAACAAGATGCATCTCAACACTGATTAGTCTCCAGGTCACTGAAAAATCAAATCAGTTACAGGACAGCTGGATCCTTCCTGTTATTTAAAAAATTGGTATAAAAGCAGAAGGTTTCATTTAAAGACTGCATCACCTCCTGCATTTCCTTCAGCTCCTTTAACAACAGGTTCAATTATGTTGAACAATTTTTAACAGAGAACACGTGGTTCCAATATAATATTGTGACGTTGAGCAGTGTTAAGACCACATTTCCACTTCATTAGAAAATGTATTTATAAATCTCATTTAAAAATATATCTTTTAATAATATAAAAAGTTAATTGTATGACTGAACTTTGATGATTAAACTGTCCGTCCTTATAAATATATATATTTAAATCTTGACAACGAATGACTATAGTAATTGTTTGTTAAATACAAACAAATATGTTGAACTTGATTGTTGTCCCACTAAAGGCCAGCGGTGGTTAGACTAACTCTCCACTGGAGGGCAGCACCTCTCCGCTGCTTTAAATGATATTAAAGATGAGTCAAGTTCATACCACCTTTATCTATCATTATATCTATCTATCTAACTAATCTTTCGCTGTGTGAAAGATTAGTTCACAGTCAAAGATTGACGAGTTGTTTTTCGTTATGACAGAGTTTTAAATGGAGTTCAATGGAGTCCTGCAGTTCCACTGTTGTCCTATCAGCAAATTGGGGAGGCGCTGCAGAGTTCATGTGTCATGTAATGTAAGAGTTAGAGTTATGATGCCTCGACTCCAGACAGACGTTAAACAACTGAACACAGATTTGGAACTCTGTTTCAAGGAGAAAAGTTAATATTTCTGTCTGAATCGTATCACGTTATTTAAAACATTGAAGTACGGAGAGAAAACCTTCGACAGTCCTCATCCTTCAACTTTTATCTCTTATTTCTGTTTCTGTGCCTTCTGTCTCTCTCTCTCTGTGTGTGTGTGTGTGTGTGTGATGGAAGGACTAAAGAATCCATGTGAGTTCTTGTCGTGCCTTCTCATTACACTCTTCTGGTCAGATAGTGGAATGCAGTCACATTCCCGGAAAGGTGGACTGGATCCCGGGCCATCTCAACGTTCTGTGTGTGTGTGTTTCTGTGCATATGTGTGTGCGTGTGAGTCCATGTTATTTTGGTGTGAATGTGTGTGCCTGTCTGAAAATGTGCTGGCAGTGGAGACGTGAGTGTTTTCTGGATGGAACATATGGGAGTGTTCAGTGAGCAGCGCTGGAAATACATGAAAAACGTTTTCTTTTTTAACAGCTTATAAACATTTTTACACACACAGGCCAGGCAGCCAGAAGTTCTCGTTCTGTTTTTGCTCTCTCACGTCTCACATCACCCTTTTTGTTGGAGTCTCCTTGTCATCCTCTTAACTCCTTTGACTTCTTCTGTCTCCCCAGGTGTCCCCCTCCCTCTCTGCTCTATGTACTGTAATCATAAGCTTAGGAAGCTGCCCTGCCCTGTCATTCTGAGCAGAGGGGAGGAGAATGTCTTTGTGTATAATGGAAGGAGAGCAGTGAGTTACAAATACCACCCACTCACTCAAACCCAAGGCTTATAAACCCCACGGCTGCAGCAGCAACAGGATACACAGCTAATCTGTCTGCAGGCCAGTGGACTTCAAAGCTGTGGAGAGTCTCTGCTGCTGATGTGGCGGAGAGACTACGGTGTGACCTCATGCTGGTCACGACCATGAGGGAAATGTCACTCTGGGGTCACTGGGAAAATACATAAAATAAGGGGTGGAAAGTGTGAATGTGTGAAGTAATTAGGAGCCAGTTTCTACTGGAGGTGGGCGTGTTTTTCCCGCCGACTCCGTCGTCAGTGATTGGAAATGTTGCAGGATGAAGGAGTTTTTCTGCAAATGAGCTGGACACATGATACATTTGTTAGATTTTCCCCTTGGTGAACTGAGAATATGAAAGGCACCATCGTATTAAACTGTGGAGTTCTCATTTCAGCAGCTTCTAGTCCTTTTTTGCACCAACCTCAGCATAGAGCAGGTCCATGTAGACCAGTGGTTGAGAACCTTTCCCACAGGACCCACATTTGTTGCCCCTCACACCTCCCAGCAACCCATTCACAGCATAATAATTATGATAGTTACACTATAATCACTAATAAACTCCCGGCCATCCCAGGGGCTGTGCCCCTCACTGTGGAAACCGAAGATGGGCTACATAAATGGCACTTTACGACAGCCTATAAAAACTAAAGACACGTTTAAAACAGTAAACCGGTCGGTCTTGACCAATCAGGTGTTTTCTGTCTGATGGAGCTCTGTGACTGGATCGTTGAATACAGCAGCCTCACAGTCTCACAGCTCAACGCTGGGACTTCCAGCACCGACAGACGGTCATGGGACCAGGGGACGCTGGGCCAGCTGGACACAGAGTGAGTCTCCTGGACGCTCGATGTCTGCTCCGAGCCTCTCTCTCTCTCTCTCTCTCTCTCTCACCCCCACCCCTTCCCCTCCTCTCTGTGTCTCTCTGTCTCACGCACACGAGAGAAAATATAAAAACACAGTCATTCCAACGCAATCTGGTTTTATTTATAACCCTGCTGTCCACTGCTGCCGCTGTGGAAATGTCTGGACTCCTCACTTGTTTTCACTGTTTGCACATTTTTCAAGATTCCACAAAAACAACCACTAAAACTCACTTTTAAAACTTCTACAACGCTCAGTTGTATATTATTATCCCAGTCTCAGCAAATGTTTGCTATAAATCTGTTCACTCTGGATGAGCTGGAATTCCACACCCTCACCCCTCCTCCCACTCCCCTCCCCTTCTCTCCCCCAGTATGTAAAAAGCTGCCGTCAGGATAATTGTGGGATTTCCCTGAACAAGTGCAGGAGCAGGTGGAGGAGACATCAGGTGCATGTCCCGGTTGTTGTTGTGACTGTGGGCCGGTAGTGGGCGTTAGGGCCGTGGGATGATCCCAGTGGTGGAGGTGTGAGCTCCTTTGTCTTATCTCTGGAGCTGGAGCTCCATGGATGTGCCTCAGGACACCGAGGAGTGATGACTGTCTACCGCAGACATTTGGACCTTTCTGTTCATAATTCACTCTGTCTGTCATCACTCTGATGACGAGGGGTCAGGTTTAAGGTGGAAGTCAAAGATGGAGGAGTCATGGAGTCAGGAGTTGGCTGAGTTGTGAACTCTTTCTTTTCTTTCCTCCACACTCTGCACCATGAGGCTGTGGGGCAGGAAGTTTGGCCGCAGGAGGATGCTCTGTGTCTGGCTGCTGCTGCTCGCGTTTATGGTCGTGACACTGACGTTGTCGGATCTTTTATCCCGCAACCAGAGTCCCGGCCGACAGGTCTCTGGTCTCCCTGACCGCCCGCTGCAGCGGTCCTCAGGTTTGCCGCCGGACGTGGAGATCTTTCTGGACTCCCAGGATCCTGCCTTGGAGCTCGGCGTGGATCTGTCCCCGCTGAAGTCTTTGCAAGAGGACGAACTTTTATTTGTGCCGTCCACGCAGGACGCCAACATGCCACCACACGAAAAGGGCATTTACAAAGTGGTTCTGCCGGGGACCTACAAGGACGAGGGTGACGCTGTGTCCCCGATGTCCAGTGAAATGGACAAGGCGGCGAGTCTTCAAGAACCGGATAAAGACCAGGATCAGGCGGTACTGATGAAGTACGGCTTCAATGAAGTTCTCAGCGAGAGGATCTCACTGCACCGCCGGCTGCCTGAGGCGCGACATGCGGGGTGAAAGATATAAATCTGAATCTTTTATCTAATATATATATATATATATATGGCAATGGTTCTGCAGATGAACACACACCACCATACACCTCTAGTTGCTCATTAACAAGTACAACAGTGCTGACCTTTCCCACTGTTGCTCCTCCCTCTGACAGTGTTCCATCCTGTCTTCCATGTCACAGGTGTTTGCAGCAGCACAGCAGGTCACTTCCATCAGCCAGTATTGTTGTGTGTTTTCATGATGAAGCCTGGTCCACGCTGCTGCGCACTGTACACAGCGTCCTCAGCACCGTCCCTGCACAGTACCTGCAGGAGGTCCTGCTGGTGGACGACCTGAGCCAGCACGGTACAGCTACAGCTCATCCATCCATCCATCCATCCATCCATCCATCCATCTAAATGTAGTCTTCTGTGCTCTTCATCCCTCAGGTCACCTGAAGGGTGTGCTAAGTGAGTATGTGTCACATCTGGACGGCGTGCGTCTCATCCGCAGCACCAAGCGCCTGGGTGTCGGCGGGTGTCGGACCCTGGGTGCCACCAGGGCTGTAGGGGAGGTGCTGGTGTTCATGGACTCTCACTGTGAATGCCACAAAGGCTGGCTAGAACCACTGCTGGAGCGAGTGGTCCAGGACCGGTACTCCTCACACCCTGGATAAAAAGCAGTCATATTCTACTAGTACAACATTTGTTATCAAGTCATCTGTGTCTGATTCTAAAAACCAAAAATGAAACACATAGTTTCATTTTTGAAAATGAAACACATAGTTTCATTTTTGGCAATGAAAAAAATTGTGATTTGGGTGAGAGATTCTTCAGAAACCTATCCCTTAAACTTGTCTTGTCTCCCTCTGTACAGGACCAGAGTGGTGTCCCCAATCATTGATGTAATAGACTGGCAGAACTTACAGTACAATGCCACCCAGTGGCCAGTTAGAGGAGTGTTTGACTGGAAACTCGACTTCAGCTGGGACTTTTCCAACTTTCCACTTCCTGACCAGGACCAGGACTTTGTTGCTGTGCAGCCTCTGAGGTGAGATTATATAAAACAAGTCAAAACCACTCAGTGTTAAATAATAACTTTGTTCCTCCAGAACTGTACTCATACAGAACTTTCTTATTGTCTTAACACTGCAGATCTCCAGTGTTAGGAGGCGAGGTTGTAGCCATGGACAGACACTTCTTCCATAGATTGGGAGCCTACGACCCTGGGATGCTGTTGTGGGGGGTGGAGCAAATTGAGCTGTCAATTAGGGTAACTCTTACAGTTAAAATATATATACATATAAATATACATACTCATTTATTTTAATGCACATATGTACCCTGAAAAATTTTAGTGCCAAGGAATCTTCACCAGCAGGGCTTTGAAGTTGTTTTTTTTTTACTAATCTATTCCAGGTGTGGTCATGTGGGGGCACCATGGAGATTGTTCCTTGTTCCCGCGTCGCCCACCTCAGGCGCCACCACCTGCCGTACCGCCTCCCAGACCAGGAGCTGCTTCAGAGAAACAAGATCCGTGTTGCAGAAACCTGGATGGATGCCTACAGCAAGATCTTCTACAGGAGGGACACGCTGGCTCATTTCATCAGGCAGGTGTGTGTGTGTGTGTCTCTGTCTGTGTGTGTCGTTCCTGAAGTGAAATTGTTTTGTTTTTTTATCTGTCGGAAAATCTAATCATATAACTAATGCAGTCAGAGAGACCAAATATCACAGAGCGTCTGCAACTGAAGAGGAGTCTCGGCTGCAGGAGCTTCCACTGGTATCTGACCTCAGTGTATCCACAGCTGTATGTTCCCCAGGACAGAGCTGGACTTTCAGGAGAGGTAACACACACACACACACACACACACATGCTCACAGACATGGAAGAGGTTTTTGGTGTTTGGGAAAATCTCAGTGCATCTCCCTGAGTCTGATATCTGTGTCTTTTGAAGCTGTACAATATCGGTACCGGTGGCTGTGCTGACCACGTTCCACAGCAGGGACAAAAGAGTCGGCCCATGAACATCGCCCCCTGCAGTGGGACGGGCAGTCAGGTAACTGCAGATTTTCTGAAGGAGTGGATCCAGGAAATGAATGAGCTGACAGTTTTCTACTGTTGTTTTCGCAGCATTATGATCTAAACTCTGAGGGTGAAGTACGATGGGGTCCGACGGGGGCTTTCTGTCTGGATGCCAAAGGAGAAAGTGTTGTTCTCTCTCCTTGTCCTACACACACGTCCACTGCCAGCACACTCCAGTGGAAGTTCATAAAGGCAAGAAAGTATTTTATTTTATTTGTTTGTTGTTTTTAAATTTAATAGAGGTAAAAGCTGAAATGGTGAGTGTTTTCTCCCTCAGCTGAACGGACAGCTCCTTCACCAACAGTCCCAGTTGTGTGTGGAGGCAGTAAAGGAAGGTGGACTGACCCATAAGAGCCAAGGAGAGGTCAAAACAAACTCCAGGACTGACCTGTTCCTCCGCCCCTGCACAGTTAACCCCAGACAACAGTGGCACTTTGAGCAACTGGTGGCTCCACAAGGCGCCTAAGACAGAGAGCACAGGAGACATCGTGATCCTGTAGGCACATACAATATATATATATTATCAAATTAATTTTACTTTACGCACTAGTGGCTTTCATCATGTTCTTGGTAGAAGTGTTTAGATCATTTATAAAAAAAATATGTTTTCCTATTTCCTCTTCACCCCTTCAACATTTGTTCCTGTTTTAAGGATTGTAAATATAATGAAAACACTTGCATCGCTCATTTTGATTTGTATCTAATAACTTAAAGAATGCAAAAAAGAAAAGTATAAATAAAGGCTTTTGTTTGTTAGCCTGTATGTTTTTTCTTTTTTTGTACATTGTTATATATATTTTTTAATTTGTAAGTATATTCTCTTTTAACATAAGGAGTTAACATCCCATATATTTATATATGTATTGTGTTGGTTTTATTTTTTTTTTTATTCCTGTCCAATGTGGCAAATTGTCAGTTGGATGAGAAAACACACTCGATTTACAATTCTTTCTTTTAACAGTAGAGGGAGCTATTTGTTTTCATAATTCAAAGCCCAGCCCGTCTATGGCTCAGCTTACTTTGTAAAGTGCATAAACAATGTCCACTCTATTTATGTTAAACCCTTGCTTAAAACTAACTGTTGAAAGGAAGAAAGACGTCACACCCAGCACTGGTCTCCAGACTGAGACAGTAACTGACAGGAAGTGAAGGCCTTCAATCTGTCGTCAGTCACTCTTGGCCTCCAGCCACTGAGTGTTAATATACAGCTGTAATACATCACACAGTAATGCTCTTCCAGTCCCGTGATGCACTTAGAGCAGTCAAGTACACAACGCCCTTTCAGTAGAACCCAGTCATATGTCTGCAGCTGCAGGGCAAAGGTCAGAGGTCAGAGATGTTTTTAAATAGAACATGTACTCTGACTTCTGTAATGGTCAGATACTGAGCTGTCCTTAAAGAAGAGAAAGGTCTCTGCGCTCGACAGGTGAGAACCGAAGGTCACAGGGAACATGATGGAGCGAAGAGAGAACTTCCTACACTATACTACAGTGTAAACAGCTGGTACATCATTTTCTAAAAATGAAAGCATTTTAATAAAAAAGAGAATGAAAAAAAAATGGCTAAAAAAAAAATATTATTGACATCTAGTCACCGGCCGATTGTTAGGGGTTATCGACCGGAAGCGGCCCTCAGGCCAGGAGTTTGGGACCCTTGCTACAAATGTCAAAGTGTTAAAAAATAATTTTTCTACTGTGGTCCTGCATCATTTTGCTGTGATGGACTGTCTCGCTCCCCTTCTGTCTGTCTCTCTCTCCCCTTCTGTCTGTCTCTCTCCCCTTCTGTCTGTCTCTCTCCCCTTCTGTCTGTCTCTCCTGAGTTAATTAGTTCTATCACACTCACCTGTGTCCTGTGCTTCCCTGATAAAATCATTGGTCTAACCTGGTGTCATGGAGTTTCCGGTCTGTTTACATTTGTTTTTTTCTGTGATTTTCCTTGTGTGTTCCATACATTTGATTGTGTTTCCTGCCTGGCCTGTGTTTCCTGAGACAACACTCAGTTTATCTTGAATTTTCTTTCTTGATTTATTTATTTTTTGATTTTTTTAAACCAGCTAATGTGTCAACTGTGTTTCCTGCTTTATATCTTGGATTAAAACAGTTTTATTCTTGTTTGTTATGTGTTTGATAATCCATTTAATTTTTTTGTTTTGGACTACTTATGTATCTTTATTTTGTCTTAATGTCAGCTCATGATTTCCAATGACTACAGTGCTGCTGCTAACAATGGAACGGTGACACGTTTGCCGGATCATTCCTGACCCTGCCTCTGGCACTGACTCCACCACAGGACCGATCCCATGCATGATTTTTCAAACTTGTCAGCTTAGATTTAAATCTTTGAACAGTTGTCACTTCCTTCAGTCCCTCCTATGACATAAAGTCTGTTCTGTCCTGTTCTATGATTTATGGCTGGGTATTATGTACTGTGCGAAATATATCAAAAGTAAAAAAAAAAGCCATTTCATCACAGTCCTTCACATGAAAAAGTCACCCAGTGCTATGTTGAAGTCAGAATAAAATAAAACTGTACTCATTATTCTGAGATCTGGTGACATGATGGGTGATACTGAGCAGGTAGTTTATTGGAAAGTGTATTGAACAGGAGTTTTCTTTCAAGGCTGACGGCAGAGAAGAAAAGTCTGATGTTTTCATTTCTGTTGGCGAGGTCACTGAGCACTGTCAGAAAGAAAAAGTCTCAGATAGTCAAAACTAGTCCTCTAGTGTTACGACAATGCAAACAGTCTTTAATATGCTTGAAATATGATTACAAGTACTATGCAACATGAAGGTGTGACTTGTATGACGTGTACGTTGGATCAAGTAGTGACTTAGCTCTTTTTCTTTTCCTCCTTTCAGGTCCGACCAAGACATGGTTTGCTGTCCACGCTTCAGTTATGGAAGAACAGAAGATTCCAGAACTTTCTCAGAGTAACGGGATGGACGCCATGTCCAGCTTCCACTGTCAGTGTGAGTAATCAATGCTGTTGTATGTGACTGCCGGTGGTTAAACACAATGAGGAGTCATGTTAGAAACCAGTTCATGTTGCATAGCACTGGTGATATTATTTTTTTATTTTCCATGAACAGCAGTAGTGATTTTAAGCCCCAGTACTTTGTTGTTTTTGTTATTACTTCAGATCTTTTCCATTGACTTAAAAGGTATTCCGCTGTCCTCTGAGTATGAACAATGACTCCCCCTGCTTTTTACTTCTCTCCTGTCACTGCCTCAGTCTAAAAAGACTCAGATAAATATCAGCTGCAGCCTCTCAGTAGAGATCCAAGGGACTATTTCATCCATGACAAAGGTGTCTGTACTTACTGTATACCATGACAAAGGTGTCTGTACTTACTGTTCATGCCTCAAAGAGCCCGGGGTCCTCTGTACCCAATCACTGTTGTTTCCAGTGATTTGTAATGTGCCTGTTGTGCAATTACATCTGTGCAGATAGGCCCCGGGAGCCGGCGCTGACACTGAGCACAGATTAAGTACATTAAAATGTGACAAAAACCTGGCGTAGAGCGGCAATTAAGAGCAGACAAATGGAGCGGCTTTTAAATGTGTCTTTTAAAAAGTTCCTGGTGACACAGACACTTTAGCCATCTTTAAATGTTGAACCGCTTCATCATCTCCACAACAACACAACACCGTGAAGTCAGAAACTGCTCTCTTGAAACAAACACAGCAGAAATGATCGTACTTGAGAAGTGTGAGGTTAAACTGCAGAGAGAGGTCAGAGAGATGTGAGACAGATGAAGGTTTTACCTGACTGTTTGAACAACGTGTCCATCGAAAAGACATTCACTGAGCTGGAGTCGGAGTTGGCAGAGCTGAATATGCCGAGTCAGTTGTTTGTGGCCCTGACAGGATAAGACGGGAGCATAGAGAGAGAGAGAAGACCAAGTAAGAGATGAAGATGAGGGTGAGTTAGTTTTGACATGTGCTGAGACAAATAATGGACAAACAATGTCAGACGTGAGGAAAGAAGACGTGAAGATTGTTGGTGTAACAGTACAGGGGATGAAGGTGGAGCACTTTTTCTGCTTGGATTCCCAAAATAAATTTGAAGAAGTAGACGGCCCGCTGGCTGACAGTTGATAATCACTGCTCTAATACAGACTTTTATCTCAAGGCAACCATATGCACGTTAAGCTCTGCTGGGCCACATAAAAGGATGTGGGAGGCCAGATGCAGCCCGCAGGCCTTGTGTTTGCTGTACGCAATATAATAGTTGTTTTCTTAAATAAACAGGAGTGGCGATTGTGTCACTGAGCCAGACTGTGGTTTAAATTAAATGTTAAATAACCTTTGTAAGCCTACGACCCTTTACTTTGTGACCTTTGAGAATTTACTCAAATAAGTAACAGTAACTTTTTTGGCCTGTGTGAGTCCAGCACTGTGACCATGGAGCGGTTGTAGGTTAAATGTTAGCAGGTCCTTGAGGCATCTCATGGCCTACAATTCCAGCTGGCAGAGTAAGCTAAGTGATTTATTGCACACTAATGTGAGCAATAAATCTCTGCGTGTTTGTCAGCCGACACTTCATTACCATCATCTGAGAAGTTCATGTGTGTTTTTAAATTGGCGGTGTATGTTACCTGTTGGTCTCAGACAGATTTGAATATACCATAAACCGCAGTAGACGACATTGACTTTGTCCATAATTCTTCTCTAAACTCCTTCTCTTTCTGCCTCATGGGTTCGATTTCAGAAATATATACACCATGTCACCATGTCTTTGCATCTCAGTGCTCTTCAGCACACCTCTGACCCATCTCCAACTTTTCTCTCCAACCTTCTCTTCAAACTGCTTCCCCTTGTCTGTACATCTTAGCTGCTCTTTTAATATCATAATGTCTAAGCAGTTGCATAAAAAAAAGAAAAAAAAAACCCATTTAGGACTTCCAGTCAGAAGGAGCACATACTGAGCTACAGCACCGCTGCCTATTTCACCCAGTGCTTTAATGGATTACCCAGTGACGGCTGCAGTGGAATAGTCTTTGTTCATTATTTAAAAAGGAGAGCTGCAGAATAGAAAGGTACAACATGTCCAGCTGGTCAAATGCTGGCAGAGAAATATCTTCTGTGAATACGTGAGCTCTCTGGTCCAGACGTTTCAACAGGGACCTTTACATCACTGTGGCGTCGACAGAATGGCTCCTCTCTGCCTGCTTAAAAGACGGCCAGAGAACTCTGCGACAGGTTAGAAACAAAAGAAGTCATTTAGCGGCCTCTTCCAGTTTCCTCGTTCGGAGGAGCGCAGCCACGACTACACCTTAACGGAGGAGGCCTCCATTAATCTCCACTTATGACGCGTGCATTGTTCGGCCGCCCCTCTCACCGCCAACACTTGTACCATCGCACCCAGGGGAACACCTCAGGCTCATTTATCAAAAACACAAGACGTCCACCCTGTGAGGGTTCAAACTAACACCCCGCCACTCACCACCACCGCCTCTGCATTGCAAATATAACTGTTGGGATGTGCTGCTAGAGCCGCCGTCTCCCCCAGAGTGGAACAGATAACAGTCTTTCTTTTTATTCTGTACCTGTGGACCAAAGCAGAGGCACAGACTCTTAGTATTCTAGGAGGTAGACGTAATCAGAACCACACACCAAGTCTGACCACACAGGAGTTCAGAAGATAATGTGTATTCAGTTTGCCACACACTCTGGTTGACAGATGACTAGAAAGGGAAAGGTGGTGAATAGAAAAAAGAGGCGAAACAAAAAGTTTAAAAGAGAATTTCTGTGGTGAAGGACAGGAGAGGATGCTGTAGATACATGGGGTAAAATACTGATTGTGAGAGATGGTCGATTCAGATGAAAAGACTGCAGAGCTGTGAATGGCTGCTGCAGGTATTTGGGTCAGGCCCCTCATCAGACAGTATGAATGGGGTGAATGCGACACACACACACACACACACACACATACACTGTCCAGGAGGAGGAGAGCAAACATAAAACGCAGAGTTAAGTGTGTGTTAGTCACTAAAATGAACGCTCGGGCTATCAACGCCGTCCACGTCCCGACTCTTTTCACCGTCGTCTTTCTCGTCTCGACTCCACTTGAATCAAAGTGTACATAAGACAGCATCGGTTTAAAAAAGGAGAACGGCAGATGAGCCGCAGTTTGTTAAGAACTGATAAAATGGGAGGGAAAGTGAATAAAAGATGACTTTTGCAGACAGTTTGGGTAAAAGAGATGCACACAGCCCGGCCGGGATTGTCTGTACGCCATTAAATATGAATGGGTTCTCAAGACCTGCAGCTAAATCAGAGCTTTGCCACAGATGTGCCTGAGGCTCTGCTAAATACACAAAAAATCATTCTGGAACTCTCTCCACTCTTCACCTTCAACCTGCAAGAGCAGGACTCCATGGAACACTTTGGTTGCAAATATTATACAGTTACACACACACACACACACAGGCCTCTACCTTAAAGGTAGAATCCACACCGAGGAGAGTGTTTTAAACACCACCACTGTCTTTCCCCTCACTCCACTACTACTGCAGCAGCGAGTGCAGCTGGACCTTTGACAGGTGTGTCAACATGTCCTGGGCATACAAACTAGTTTTCATCCCCCAGCTAGACACCAGTGGGACATGATGACTGGCTCACTTTCACCTGAGGTGAACCGTAACAGCAGCAAACAAAGAAAAGACACCTACGCCATCCCACACACACAGGTTAGCTACAAACAAATACAAAAGTTAACAGTGAAAAGACTGAAAAAAATGAATGAAAATACTCAAATTTCTCCTATTGTTTGTCTGAATACACTGCAGCGCATGAATACGAGGTTGTTGCTAGTTTTTTTCCAATAACATAAAAGACAAAAATAGGCAAAAGCTTCTCTCAGCCGTAAAGATTCCGTCTAAGCAGATCTGACTGTAGCGTCTCTGTTATTTCACAGACTGTGTTCCTGTCTTTCTTTACTCCATCCATGGCTCTTCTCTGAGGTCGCCCTCCATCCTCCTGCCCCACATGATCCCTGCATAACGTCTCCAACTTCCACTTTCCTCTGATCTCCCATTGAACCCTTCCTTCCTGTGCATTGTTTAGCCTCTGCTTTCAGACCGTGTCACTGTGCTGCTTCCATTCATTCTGTAGCACATCATCTCCACCCACTTCATCTGCCTTCCTCATCTTCAGTGTCCAACACTCTGAGAGTCAAACTCGTCCTTCACTTTCTCCACCCCTCGCAACGTCACTTTCCAAGCCATCGTGTGCCACCTAGTGGAAGAGCTTTTAATTCTTTTCTTCATGTCACGTTCACAAATGAAGAGAAATTATTTGCAGTAGACAAGTGACAGTTCGATTTACTGTGAGATAGTGAAATAGATTCTAAAAATGTTTTTAAAAAATGCAGCATTTGAGAAGTATTTGAACATCTACTGGTTAAAACACTAAGAACACATTACTAGATGTTATTCTTTTGAACTCATTAAAAAACAGAAGACGACAAACAGAACGGGACTTTCTGGATGAGTCAGCTCTAATGACAGTTTTCCAGTTCTAATGAATGTTTTTCTGAGCAAAAACAAAATATCAGCCGTACTTAACAGTCATAAATGTTGTTTATTAGCATAACATGTCATTTTTTTCATATCTAATAAATATCAAAACCTTAAGGGAAAAAAAAAGAAGATTGATTACAGTACATTCCATTAGTAGAGAAGCACAGCCAAACCTACATGAGTTCCAAAGAGAATCGTAGATCTGTCCTGCCCAGAGTTCTGACCTTTGTCCTGGTTGAGGTTTGCATTGGCTGGTCCCAGCAAACACTGCTGCCATTACCTCGTACCACACCAGATACAGTGGCGTCATTTACCGCCGTCCAAAAGTCTTGCATTCTTTGAGGTAAAAAAATACATCTTTATTATTGATACATTCATAGAAATATAAAAGCATCTCCATTTCCCTATTGTGCTTTTTGTGGGAATATTGCCTTTGCTCTGCTGAGAACATCTGATCTCAAGAGCTGGGAACCCTGGGTGACGGTTGGAGAAGCAGCCTGCATCATAGATCATAAATATTATTGGTGTTGTGATCCCTCAACAACAGGGGGCGACTACCTTGTTCCTCGAACGACCCAGCGGTATATATGCATCAGTAAGTGCAAGTTTCGAACGTTAAAAGGACAAACGCTTCCGTTTTCTTTAAATAGATAAACATAAATGGCAAGCTGTATTTCCACAGGGTGACATGCAGCATGTTAATGTGCGTCTACAGGCACTACTCAAAGGGCTCAGAAAGGCATGCAGAGAAAAGGAGAAGGAAGGAGGGAAAGGAAAGA